TTGTAGGAATCTACTAGATATTTAATAACCTGCAGAATTCTATAATCAAATTTGTATATACACCATTTTTAATAATTTATGTTCATGATTTCCCACTTTAAAGAAGATGCGTTGTTTTCCTTATCTTAGCTTTACTAGCAGTTGGACAAACTCCCAAAATTAAGGCAGCAAAATTTTATTGAAGCATTCGGCATCTGCCTGAGTATATAACGACCAGCAAATCCTACCGCAGCCATCCCAAGACCAGCCAAAATAATTGAACTCGCCATTCTTAGGTGATACTATAATCGTTTAAACCATTTGTATATTAAATTAACTTATTCAAGTATAGGCTAAATTCAGACAAGCTATAAAAATCGCAAAAAATACTTTTTTAAATGTTTTATATGTCATTTTTCAATAAATTTATACATTCATACACAAGAATGTGATAAACCAAAGACAATAGATAATAACCAGGCGATAAGCGCTGCACAGTAAACGCGTGCTAGACAATTACAATAAACAAACGAATGCATTTATTTCCTAGAATCTACTGTTTTCTAAATATTAACGCATTGTTCCGCTTTTGAGGCTTACTTGTAGAAAGGAGTATATAATTTAAAACAATCACAAGCGATTTGTGTCTTCCTCCTACTTGTAGAAGACAGTAGTAAAACCATATTTCCATTTATCTGTCTAGACACTTTCAACAGACTTATATCATCGAAAACATTGACAATATTCTAGGAATACCACGGGTGTTGTTGGCCTTTTTAAAAACCATTAGGAAGTATCGTGTGATCATTCAGTATCTTGGTCATATAAAAATAATAAAATAGCACCATAGCTTTAGAACGCATTCAAACCTGGTTACACGCCAGTGTCTTGTTGATGAAGACTAGAATTTGAGTGACCAAATTGAATGATGTAACTTGATTTCTTCTTGCGGCTTTATGCATGTCCAATAAAATTGAGTGGCCGAATGCGTCTCTAACTGCAGTATATCTAATAAAATGGAGTAGCCGCTTTCAATAACAGGAGTGAGTAGTCTACGAAAATGTCCTTAAAAGTTCAAATTTAAAATGATCAACGTAAATACGGGTATAAATATCGGAAAATTTACACTCTACATATTCATCTTACACTATCCTGCTTTTAAACAGAGATGACAAGAGTTTAACATAGCTTTTAACATTCCTTGCTTTTGAAATTTCAACTACGACTTTAACTCAAAATGAAATAAATTTCAAAGGTGGCCTCCACAATACGTATCGAGAGAAATCAATATCACATGGGCACTTTACAATGACTCGTATATATCCACACATAGCAACAGCAGGCCAGTCGACCTTTTTAGACCCTCCCCTATTCTAGAGGCGATAGGGGCGATCCCCCATGGGCAAAGCGAGGGGGAAAGGCGGGGTGGTTCAAGGGACGCTAGATTATGGACGGTTTCAGAGATCTAATTTATTTTTGGGAGGGTCGGGTCTTAAAGGGGGGAGGCCGGATTATTTTTAGGGTCCCGACCCAACCGTTGGAGCTTGGAGCCGAGTGTTTTGCTGTGTGATTAATTTGAACCTTGTTTTTAGGTTGCTTATTCAGATGTGTTATATTTGTTTCATTTTCATATGAAATGTAAACGTGTAAAAAGAGAAGTTTATTTTACTATCAAATTAAACCTTAAAAAGACAATACGACAATCCTTACTTTACGTCATTAGCCAAACATGTATCTATATTTATGACAATTTCAACATACATACCAGGTTGGCCCTTAAATAACTCAGTTACTATCGCAGGTTCGATAACAGTCCTGAGTTTAATTTTACCAAGGTAGAAGAGAGATAGAGAAACATGAGCACACAGCTTCTAATGGTACACAGTGTTATAATTCTATGGGTAATAATTTGTTATGAATCAGATGTTTGTTAACTAATTCGTAAATAACTAGTTAGTAAATCTTAGGCACACATTGGTGCTAATTCTGTTGTTCGAAAACTGGCTAAACCACTAAAAATAAATCACAAAAAATTGGTTTAGTCCTGTCTAATAACGTTTCGTATTCTGAAAACGTAGTACTTGATTGTTGTGATTGTGATTTTTAGTGTTTTCGAGCAACAGAATTAGCACCATTATCTCGGGAAGTTTTGAAAGCTGTTACAAATGAGTAAGTTATCACATATGTATGTACTTATGGACTTCAAATAAAATTATCGAATGCCATTAGATATATGAAATCAATTATGAGACAATGGTCTAACCCGCCAAGACCTCTGATAAAAATGATCAAGTGGGTAAGACTAATTAAGAACATGAAGGACCTGACCATAAATATTTTATAAATATAACAAACATAAAATAATGCTATCATCATTAAATATGTGTTATATTATATATCTATATGTTATATAAATCGTAATCAATAACGACATCAAGAGAGTGAAGTCAATAATGAGCTTGAATGTGTTATCGATTATATCACATTAAGTTTTTAATTAATTTTAGCAAGCATTGCTTTTAACTCTCAGTAGGCAGATAAAAAAATGCATGGGTACTATGTGTAAATGTTCGAAACAGGAATCATGGACGTCTACTGGTTAGTTCTACATAATATGATGTACCTGACGAACTTCATGTACGAAGTATTGATTTTGTATTTAAACTAGTTCCCCCCTCGGGAGCTCGCCCACGTTCGTTACAAACGCAGCTGGACTCTATGCCTTTTGAAATAGGACTACCTACACTATGATGGTATATTTATATTTAGAATAGTTTATAAAACGTAATTTATGAGAATATGTGTATGACAGCGTTTTACGTTAAAATCCCTCGAAAAATTGCAGGTACGCAAGTCGTTGTGTACAGGGTCCAGTCATTTCACAAAAGAAACACCAACGAATGAACTTAGAATCAGTATCTTATTTCTCACTCGCATACAAAAAAATACAATGGAAGAGTCTAGCAGTGGACTGCGGTAGACTGATGATGATGAAAAAATAAACTAATATTATGTATATAAATACAATTTAAAAAAAGTCAGTGCTTAAATGCATGCGCGGAAATTTCGGGTGTGTTAATGATCACTTTTCCGCTCCTATTAATCGTACTGTGATATTACGTATACTATATAATATACTTTCTCGATGAATAGGTACAATAAGAATTGGAGCGTTTAAACAAAAATCCATTATTTCTTAATATATTGGTATTAATGTGTGCATTAATTTCGGACGCTTCGCCGTTATACTGACTAATCTTGTATTCTGGATACCACGAGGTGAAAGCTTTTCAAAACTAATCATCAGATCTCTTTAAGTTTGTGAAAATTACGTTCTCACGAAACACTCCATTACAGATAAGTCAAGCTAATAAAAACGTTGTAAAAGATACAAATATGGTGGCCAAGGCACGAAATTATGCTATTGAAGTCAGTTCCTGCTTAGATTACCATGACACAAAATTTTCACATTTTTTATTAAAGATAGAAGTGTTGATAACCGAATACTGTCTGCCAAGTATACCTATTTAGTATTTTCGAATATAGTGCGCAGTCTAGTGAGCACATACTCGTATGTACATCTCTGCTTAATTTATTGCTAGTTGGCATAGAAAGCAGTTGAAACCGAATTGTTCATTTTTATTTTAAACAAACTTTATGGCTCCCGTAAAAGTATTTCTATCCCTTGGGATGATACTTTTGTAATTATAAAAATTTAGTTTCTTAAAATTTGTAATAGGAACTAATTAGCAATATTCCCACTTGTATAGTCATTAAAAAAATTAAGCATAAGACCTTAAATTTCGTAAGTAGAAAAACTGGCATAGTTTCGTATTCTTTAGCAGTTTTATCCAGCGAACTTAATAAGAACCCTGACATAGAACTAAAATAAAGTCATCCCCTCCAAAGTGACACTACTTAACGCAAGAAACATAACGTTAAGTTATTTTAACTTTCGTTTTTTGCGAGGTGAAGGTAAACTAAGGGAGGGGCGCGACGACGACGACAACTCAGACAACTGCAAATTGGGGTAAATCTTAATGCGTCAGCCCTATTAAGATTTTTTGTAAGCCATGCCTGTTTCATGTAATACGATATTTCTGATGTAAAAATATCTCTTACTATCAGACTATCAAGACGAGCACTCCATTTTAGTATTTTGCAATGTCGCACACAGTAAGTTTGTACTGATCAAGCCCTTATTGAAGGAATATATATTATAAACATTTACTTACTACTTACTTACTTTAACATAGCTTCAATTTAAAGTTTGACAAATAAATTGTTACGTAATCTTGTGATGGATGCAACAAGTCTTTTCTGTTTCAAACGGATAGACATGTGGAAAATTACGTTTCGTTCACTTCCGTGTTTTATGTTTGCCTAATCGTGAGTCAAGGTAACAGTTACTCAAGGACCAACACGTAACATTATGACCTAATTTGTTGCACTGGGATTTTACGAAGTGGGAGCGTAGTTTGTGCCCGTTAAGAATATTTTTGAAGCGAATTCCAAATATCTATCTACCTGTGAACCGCACAAATATTTCCACTTCGCGTTAGTGCAGTTTTCCTAAAATACCTAATACTAGTTATCCTAAAATACCTAATGATAATACATAGTTTATATAATTTCTTGACCGTGGGAGAGCCATATTTCATTACAATTGAACTGGCTGCTCGACGGAAATACCACAACGAATGGTACACGGCCTCACAGAAAACCGGTATTAAGCTTCGCTTATTTTCACCGAGTGAGTGAGGTTACCCGGGGATTAAACCTCCTTCCCTCCCACCTCCCCCTGACTTGAGCGAAGGGGGCACTCAAGGCGGCAACGCACTCTTGACTTGCAGGTGCGGTGTCCATAGACGCTGGTACTCACTTGTCATCGGATGATCCGTCTGTTCGTTTGTCCCTATTCTATAAAATACACGTAATCCAATGTTAGAAACATCTATTTAAAAAATATTTGATCCATCTTAATATAAATGAATGATGAATGAATTTTCTTTTGTCCTTAGCGTTCCATCGGGAGGACCAGCTCCTGTCTCATATGAACATCCACCTACAGGCATACTCGATGGCAAACGGTGACGAAGATTATATACTTGGGGATCAACAGTATGACCACTCCAATGCTGAAACTTTTGTGAGTACTTTTTTGTATGCTTGTGTATAACAAGTAAAAGTATATACATTCTTTATTAGACTGCACGAATGGCGTAGTGGTCTAAACGGTCACCTCGCGCTGAGTGTTAAGGGTTAGATCCCTACAGGGGTGTGATCCATCCATCTACATCCACTTTGAGTGATTCGCAAATTGTTGTTCTAAATCTGGGTGGTCTTTGTGTCCGTTTCATGTATGTTTGTAGTTTTGTCTTAAAAAAAAAATACATAGAAACCCGGTATTCATGCAGGTATGAGTGAAAAAAGACTTACTTGAAGATTTAGAGAGAACATACAAGATTTCATAAGGTGTACTATACATATAACCATAACCCTACTTGTGTTTTTCATTTAGTTGTACCTGATAATGTTTTTTAGGACCAGATTTAACGGAACCATCCATATAATCCGGTTTGTGAGACTATTTATATTTTCATCAAATGGAATTTAATACTAGTATAGGCTTTAATGTTAATGTTCGTTGCATTTTGACCTTTCACTGCATAAAACGACACATTGCCATGAGTAATAGAACCATTAACAACGTAGTTTTTTTGTTACTTTCATCCTAAAACAATATTATGATTTTTTTTTGGATTTTTTTCATGTTTCTATTAAGATTTACAACGGTTGATCTAACAGGCTACGATACCCGTCGCATAGGAACGAAAAACCAAAATTTAAACGCCACGTCACTTAGTTGTTCATTATTATTATGTTTTAAATTGACAGCAATTGAAAACTCGGCAAGACCTAGTTCTAGTTACCTAGTTTTCTAGCAAAAACAATAGCAGATAACCTTCGACATACGGAAATCGATAAGCCAAAAGGCTTTGCCTTTTTGTCAATAGAATCTAGGTTTCCTATGCGTTATTTTATGAAAATTTTGGTTAAAATGCAGAAGGTAACTTTATACTACAAGGTACTTTTATAAAAAAATACTATAATCAAGAAAGACTCAACAGTTCACAAAAGTCTAACAGAGCAGTGTAATTGTCCATTTAACTGTCTCCCCATTCTACACCATTTAAATTCGAAATAAGAAATGGAATTTACTCTTCGGTATAATTTTACGTCACTATTTTTATGTTTTTATGTTCGTAATGTTATCTGGTCCCCAGGCAACTGACAATGGGCTCCTTGTCGCTCGAGTGCCCATCATTGAAACCCCTCAAGTCGACCGCTACAAGAACGAGTCCCGTCCTCACGAATGCGACATCTGCCACCGTCGGTTCAAACGGCGCCAGCATCTCAAGGTGCATATGAATGTGCACGCTAAAGACCAGCCCACTATATGGTGCTCTATGTGCGGAGAAGGTGAGAAAATTACTTTTTTTTAATCTTGCAAGAGGTTTTGGTTCGAATTTTATGTCGGTGATTTGTAAATACTTTAATCTTTTTGCATTATAGACAATGTAGAAGTATCATTTTTCAATTATTTGCAATATACAATCAACTTTAAAGCAGTATTATTTCTTGTTATAAATTTGACAAAATATTTTATTTTTCGTTACTACTCCATAACTACAACTTCGCTGATTGCCTAACCCTCGAATCCACAAAGATATAATGGTAAATATATCTGGCCCCTTAAAAGTTTACAGAGAATTGCTTTCAATTCATTTCAAGAAATAAAATAAATACAACCAAAGTATTGTTAGAATTTCATCACCATCACTGTCATAATATCGGCCTCGAGGAATCCTCTCTCAGGTTTTAAAAAGCGGCATTGAAAAAAATTGTACGTCGTAATAGGCATTTATTTATTCTTACATTCTAGGTTTCGTTCTTAATCAAGACTTCGAGAACCACGAATGCATGGGCATAATGAAAGAGGAAAACAGTAGCGAGCAGTTCAGTGAGGATCAATCGGAAGAGATGCAGACCACGTCTCAGGAAACAACACAAGATGCGAAGAAAGAAAATAAATATCCACAAGAATTTGTAAGTGATTCATTTATCCTAGATCAATATTCGGATACGATACAGTTATTTTTTTAAAATTCTTGTGTATAGTAAAGTTACTACTCTACTTTAGTGATGATGTCTGTCTATGGATCCTTATTGTTTTGATATTTTTCAAAGTAATAAAGACGGTATGCCATGAAAATAACTAAAGTTAAACCTGGGTCTAAACAATAACTTATCGATATGTGGTGTGTGTGTGTGTGGTGGAAAATCTCGTAGTATTCACAAGGTCTAACTTGACATCCTTAATAATAACAGTGGTTTTCACTGGTTTTACGTTTGTCGTAGTAAAATATACAGTTTTTTTTGTTCATTAAAATACAAATTATTAACGTTAAACCAATGAAGTTACCGGAGCCCAAACCCTCTCCCTCACACTTATTTTGGGGGGAGGGACTGAAAGGGCGGCAAGGCTTGAGTTGCAAGTGTCCATGGGCAGTGGTACTCGCTTACCATCAGGTGACCCGTTTGCTCGTTTGCCCACTGCGTTAAAATATATATATATATATATAAAGTAAAGTTAGAAAGTTTTAATAAATATGAACATATATTCAAATCTCCCTTTTTCTATCCCCATTTTTTCATTTATCTTTTCGTGTGAAAGTATTTCTTAGTTAAGTCTTGTTATTTTTTATTTATTTAAGTTTAGTGCACCTAATCACTTATTTTACACCACCCCAAGGTAGACTGGCAGAGAAGGCCTATGGCATTAAGTCCACCTTTATCCATTTTTTTGTTAATAAAGTTAAATAAATAAAGTGTTCTGAAGTTTATAATATTTAACTATACATACATTGTGAACCAGGTTGACGTGTCGGTGTTGGCGACTATAGACGACCCAGGTTACAACCAGTACCTGGAAGAGAAGGAGATTCCCATGCCGCAGCGAGTGTACGTATGCAAGTTCTGCAGCAAGCCGTTTAAACGGAAGGACCACTACAAGATTCATCTACACATACATACTGGTGTCAAATCGTTCTTCTGCCCTGACTGTGGGAAAGGTAAGTCACAACTGTACACCACTACAGGTAAATTAGCTTGGAGAAATTTTTGCGTTTGTAGTAGTTTTGTATGGTATTCTGGTTTTGTGCGTGTTTCCACTTTCCACTATCAAGTGACGATTTTTTGCTTTAGATTGAAATATCTCGGAAACGGTGCGTCCTAGGCCAAAAATAACAAAAATGTTGACCCCCCCCCCCCCCCCCCCCGTAGACCCCCGGAGTTTTAAAAACCAAGATGAAAGGAAAAAAAAATAAAAAAAAATTTAAATATCGGTCTCTCCTCTTTGAAGTTTCACTTCCATCGTGTGTGAATCGCACACACACCTTTTTTTTTTTATAAAGTCAAAACCTTTTTCTTTAAAATAAAAACTTGTTTTTATTGAAAACAAAAATCAGAGTGTTGCTAGGGATAAGTATAAAATTAAATAGTAATGTTAGGATATCGAAACATTTTTGTATAGGCCAGAACGATATAGTGGAAACGCGCTCTAAGATCTGAGTAATATACACACCACTACATATGCAAAAATTTCTCGAGACTAATTTCACTGTACCTACCTTCTTGGCAACTAAAGACAATTTTTAATGATTATGACACATACTTTCAATTGCTGCGATTGACACATGGGACTATTCCTTGTGCGATTAAATGTATATTATGCGCATATTTTTTTTGTATGATAATAAAGTGAACGTTTTTTATGAAGATTGGCCTGAAATAAATAGGCATCTTGCCTTTTTGAGCAACCTATTTCTTTAAAACTTTAACCTTCTGCTATGACTTCGCTTGATAGCTAGATGTGTTTTTCGTCTTTTGCTTCAGAAAATGCAAATACTCTTGTAGTCGAACAGTAACGTACGCCCATCAGTAGCCCGGATAATCCTAAAGTGATCAGGGTTACTTCTGCTTTTGTACTTATAGAAGTAGTAGCGAACTCGCTCTGTCTTCGGACGGATGCAATATATTATACATATTATTATAAACCTTGCTCGTGAATCATTTTCTATTGATAAAAACCGCATAAAATTCCGTTTTTGAAAGATCTGATCGTACAAGAACGAGAAGCGACTTCATTTTAAACTATGTAAAGATAAAGTTTAAATTAGTTGTTGCATTCTAGCAAAGACACAAACACTTCTGGGTCAGAATAATATATAAAAAACCATGAATTTAAGAAATACTTGTGTTCTATAACAGTCGATTGTCTTTACAGGTTTCTACCGCAAGGATCACTTACAGAAACACGTTCTCGTTCACATGAAGATACGTCAACCTCCAAAGAAAGAGATTCCTGATCTGTTTCCCATCCAGATGGTAACCAAAAAGAAGGAGGTTAAACCGGAAATTACTATACATGTAAGTATGAGATATCCTTTTGCAATATTGTGGTCCATATCTTAGTACAATTGTTGACTAAAAAATCAAACAATACTACACCTAATACAGATTTGGTACACGTCCAGGCCTCAGAACCCGAGACGCGTCAGGCATAGGCCATAAAAAAAACGGGCCTGTTGGACTAGTAGTTAGTGACCCGGACTGCTAAGCTTAAAGTCGTGGGTTCGATTCCAACCTTGGACAAATAATTGTGTGATGAGCACGAACATTCTGCGTCTGGGTGTAATTTAAGAAAACAATAAAGAAAAATATTGTTAAAATTTTTAAGTAAAAAGGTATAAGTTATCAGTTGTAATACTTTTAAATGATTGTGGCAAAACCATACTGACTTTATAATTTTTATTATTACAGGCCCCCTCGAACACAAAGCTACGTGTGCCTTTACAAATCAAAGTCCCATACCAGGTTGTAATGTCGATGGATAATGGAGAACAGCGGGCTGTCACCATTGACCCCCAAGCCAGTCAAGAAACTGTCTCATAATACTCTTATCATTAATCCCTACTTACTTATTAATGCGAAAGTAACTCTACTGTGAGTTACGCTTTCACGGCTAAACCGCTGAACCGGTTTTAGTGAAATTTGACAAGAAGATACCTTGATAAGAAAGGTCGGACATAGGCAACTTTTTAATGCGACAACCGCTGTACACGCGGGCGGAGCCACGAGCAAAACCTAAATCTACTATTTACACAAATCTCTCCAACTAACCCAACACTGGGCAAGAAACTAACTGTCTTTATTTTTTTAATTTTAAGATATAGATGTAAGATGACTTTTTTTTAGAGTAGAACACGTCTAAGAAAATAATTTCACAATCAATGTAAAAAGATTTTTCAAGGTCTTCGTTTGCTGATGTAAATAAAATGTTAAATATGCATGTTTTACATCCGAAAATATGTAAATATAATGCAACTTCGACAACTTAGAATAATTTAACGCAATGTTTACAAACTAATATAAACGCGTGACCACTTTTGGTGCCAAGTATGAACATTTCAACTTTCTTATTTTGCCTTTCCTGGTAAATATCCATACTTCCATACTAATATGATAAATTCGTAAGTGTGTCTGTCTGTCAGTTACCTCTTCACGCTTAAACCGCTGAACCGATTTAGATGCAATTCGGTACAGAAATCGTCCGAGTCCCGGGAAAGGACATAGGGTAGTTTTTATCCAGAAATCATCCTTTAAGGGGGTGAATAGGGGGGGCACGAGGGACTTCCTTTCTAGGGTATACCTGGTTCCCCGGCTATTAGTACCCGAGACGGCGTGCGGTATTAGTCGGTTCGAGTCCGACATGCCACCGATAGGTGGCATGTCGCACTCGAATATGGAAAAAGGGGGTGGAAGTGCGTATGGGTATAACCGCTGAACGGATTTAGATGAAATTTGGTATGAGGATACTTCGATTCTTGAGGAAAGACAGGCTTTTTACCACAATAACAGACATATAGGTCGGCGCCGCAGTAAAAGCTATAGTCCATCAACGTCGTGCGCGACCGTCCTGCGGGGTAACAGACGGTGGCGGGGACGAGGTACTCAAGATGTCAGCGGGTAGCGGGGAAGGGAATCGTGTGTAGCCGTGTGCTAGAATGACGCGCTACCTCGCCCCCGCCGCTGTCTGTCACCCCGCGGGACGGTCGCGCACGAGATTGCCGAATTATAGTTTAATATATTTCAGCTTACATCTTTTAGGTTAATCTATTTGCTTTAACAGTTGTATGTATATATTTGAAGTTTACAAAAGAAATAAATGTTAATTAAGTGATGGATGTAAAGAGCCTAACAACAACGTTATTCAATTGAAGTTAAAACTTGGGGGTAACTTGTAACTTCATTTTATTTCATATATGCATTTCTTTTTAATTTTGTACTGAGATAACGTCTTTGACGTACACAGATCTAACTTATTTTAAAGTGGCATTGGCCCTAGTGAGAAAAATAAAATACATTTGTGTATCATTTACATTATTTAATTTAAAAAAATGAATTTCATAAGTTCCGTATATTTTTATCTAGGAATCTAATATCATACAAGCATAGCTTGATATCGATAGTTAAAATACGTAAAACTGCAAGATTCTTCAGTCTTTAGTAGGTACTGTCTGATCATACCCATAAATCTCGAATTTCCGAATAAGAGGTGAGAAAGGGGTCCAAAAATGTAGTTTAGTTTTCAATAATAATAATATAGTTTAATGATTTTTTTCAATTGTGAATATCGTTCTAGATCTAATCTTAAACAATCGCCTCCTAGCATAATCATATCTTAAATACTTGTAACATTAATATAGTAAATATATTATCATAAATTATTATTTATGAATAGTAATCGTTGTGGATGCATTATAAATGAATGGAACATTTTTGAATAGTTGTAAGAGCGTCACATATCGTGCCATGTGAACCAAATAATACTCAATACATTATCTGTTGTATATAATGAAGAGCAGTCTTGCCAGACGAATGAATGTACTTACTATTTCCTGAATACTTTTTACTCAAACAAGATGTAATTTCTGTTTTTTTTTTATTTCTTATTCTCTGCTGTCGAAATAATAAAATGTTTTCGTTGAAAATTATTTGTTTTCTTATATTTGTCTACAGATTTGTTTAGCATTCATTTGTAACGGATAATGTATAGTGGTTAGCTGTTAGTAGTAAGTCTATCATTCTGTAAAGTTCCTCTGTTTTGTCTTTTCTCAGAAAATAAAAAGTTGTGATTCTAAAATCTAAGTTTAATAAATGTGAAATTGAAGTACAAAAGGAGTTTATTTGATTTTAAATCCTCATGAAACTTACCTGACAACAGAAATAATCTTAATAACTGATACTCGATGGAACGCACGTTGTAGTTCTGCTATGACATCAATGTTTTATTTAAAAAAACTAACAAATTACAAAACTACAGAAACTGGTATGTCCAAATATTGAAAAAATAGCAGTAAAATTGTCTTCTTTTCTGCATGTTTGTTAGTGCACATCTCTGAAACTACAGAACGGATTTTCATGTCGTGTTCACAGGTGGACCGAGTGTATTCGGGAGTAAATCATAGGCTTCTGGGGTGACTTTAACGTATAATCTAAGATACTTGTAATTTACTTTAAATATCAGTCAGGGATTTTAATTTGATAACACCAAAAATTTCTTTAGAATTTGTGGGTCACTGGTTCGAAAATTATAAGCGTTTCTAGGTGGCCTACTAATTAGACGGAATCAATCGCCAAAAATCGGTATCTGTCGATCACTCTTTCATAATCAAGAAACGCTTATAACTTTTGTTTTTTAAATACAACCAATGAAGCCACGCCACACATGATCTAGTTTGAGTACCTACCAACTATTAAGAAATCCTTTTCTTGTGTTGTGCTAGTAAGAGCTGTAAAATAAAAAAAAATAAATATTTATTATTTATTTATTAATTTATTTTATAAGAATAAAACTACATGATTGAATAAATTGTTATATTTGAAACGAGACATAAATGCACAAATTGGGTACAGAGAAGCGCGATTACTATGATTAAGTGTTAAGTACTGTGGTAACTAAACATTGTGTACAAAGCCTGTTTTATTTATTATTCTGCTAAGAAAATAGTCATTCTTATAATATTTTTATTTAAGTTACCTATACATATTATAATATTTTATTATTAAGTAAATTGAAGGAACAATTCTTTTTAGAAAAAGTAAAAATAAAATAAAAACATTACAGCGAAGTAACATGACTGATGTCTTTAAAAATTTTGCTAATTTCTTACATACAAATATACCTAGATAGCATTTATATGCGATCCAAGATTCGTGCTATCTCATTCATACCTTTTGTTGCTAGAGAAGTAGATACAATCTATGTCTATGTATTAATAATATTGCGTAAACAGATCATTTTAAACCTGAACATCTCGTTAGATTCACAACTACACCAAAAGTAAAGTGATACTTTAAATAAAACAGTTAAAACAAATCATCAATAAATGGTTGCAATAATGTACTTCTTTCTATAATAGATAGTATTCTATCATTATAATTTATATAATGTTATTGCACGCTACGCTATAGAATCAGAGGCAGAAATAAAGTACTTATGTACGTTACTTAGTTATGTTTATCTGCTATCTTAATACATCTGTATTAAGATAGCAGATAAAATCATAATGTGTTCAGAACTTGATGAAAATATTCAAAAATAAATTTGAATTTACAATAATATGATCGGAATGAATTTAACATTACTTTCGATTCAAACATCAATTTAAATTCATATTTACGATTTAGCCTACGAGCTAGACATGTTTACAATGTGTAGGTTACCATCAAAATTCGAAATAGTGAATTCAGAGTCGACAATCGTTCGAATTTTCTAATGTTAGTAGTGGTACTTATAAAATAATGACATTTCATTTTACTGAAAGCCATCACTAAAGATGAAGTAAGTACCTACTGGTAAGTAAGTAAATGTTATAAATATAAATCAAACGACGGCGACGTCCAAGCACAGTAGTACAATTTTTTATTACGCTGGCACAATCAAAGTGCGTTAAACGATCAACGTTAAACTCACTTTGATTAATTTGATACTTGGAAAATTCGTAATACCTACCCATATTATTTACACATGCAAAATCGGTTTCCCAACAAAAAAAGCAATAATCAATATATTTCGCTCCTTAAATTTGACTATACTTTTGGAACACCATAATACAGGTATCGACTAATGTATTTAAAACTGAATCCATGGAGCATTATTTAATATAATAAAATACATTCCTATAACTTTAAAACAAATGTCTACATTACGATTAAAATTTTAACAAACCTACCATAGACTATTCGTTCATAAATATAAAGTTTGCGAAAAATTGTTCAAATCACAACAAAACTAACAATTTTGCGCTACTTAACACTATTAATTAATGTTATTCAAAATGTTAGTGAGCATTTAGGAATTTTATATAAAAATATGTTTCGTAGTACCATTTTCCTATGGATATTATCTACAAGTTGCAGGTTTTATAATATACAATCGAATTTACAATTTACGAACAAACACTAGATATTATTACAATAACATCTATATTGAATAAATATTTAATTTACATTAAGGTACATATCGAACCACCACATTCCAACGAAGAGAACACATTTTACGAAATAACAAAAAGAAAGGAGCGTGCAAAAATATGTGAAACTATTTAGACATGAAGAAGTGTTTTACCTTGACACTCTTATACATTGGAATTTTCAATTAAAAATAGATTAACCCTGTAAATTTTAAGGTAATAAATAATTTCTTAAAGTAAAATAATTCTACGTTCGACGAAGTAAGTGACTTCGTGTAATGCACCACCGTTTCTCACTTAGTTTCGTACACAAGTTGCAATCGCTCCATAATCTAAAAACCAATGATTTCTAATCATTGAAAACAACTCTTTTAGGTCGACAACATTTATTAAATTAATAACAACATTTAATAATCATTTTATAAAAGACATCACAGCAAAATATACAGACAGAAATTAAAAACACGTCACGATTTTTAATTTAAATTTTCATTGTAGATCCAATGCGTAAGTCGTATGGTAGTACTAGTCTGACACTGAATACTTAGGTACTCAAACCAAACACAACAAACCGCATATAAGCAAATTGTATAAAGATTTATTCCGTTTGCCAACAATTTTATTACTCTCTGAATTGTATTCTCTGTATGGTGGGGACCATAACGTTCAAGAAGTAAAAATAAACAGTTAAAGTATTATACTTTAACAGTTCATTTTTACTTCACCTGTTGTTCGACATCGTGTTGTTGTTCAACATCACCAGTTGAATATTTGGTGAACATTTTTTCCATTCATGATTAAATGATTCTGTCATTATTAATTTGCCACTTTATATTCTTTTAGCAGTTCTAAGATAATTATATAACAGACATAATGTCTATGGTACTCGGCAACTTTTTGGTGGCGAGCGGCCCGTGACATTACTGCACTGGTATCCGGCTCCCGACAACAAGAAGCGAGTATTGTGTTGTATAGACTAAATGTTTCTCATAATAAGCTGTATTGTTTAAACGGTAAATGTGACCTATAAACTGCGCCCATGTGATTTTACTACGATTACGTACTAAGGGTTGCCAAGGAATAAATTACTTTAAAGAAAAATATAGTATTATGAAACTAATGCTATTGCTTTTATATACTAAGAATTCCAAACTTCATTACAGAAATAGCGCTGCCATAAATCTGTAGATTTTTTAAAAGCATCTATCACCAACTTATGACTTTAAATTCTACTGTCTCTGTTTTGGAATTTTCAACTAAAGTTTTAATATTAATTGCTTTTGATTTTCTTTGTCAAACTGCTTGATGACTGTGATGTAGGCTGCTTTTCTTGGCTAAATAATTTACAGAGCTATCGATGTGTGTCTAGCTACACGCTGCACTGTCAAGTCATTTAACAATCATGCTGATCACTCTTGATTATTAATACTTAGGACGACTGCACCATTTTAACATGTGTTAAAAATCATCATTAAAAAATGTGACCGTTATTGCCAATAGAACATACATATGCACAATAACATTGAACTAACTAAACAGACATTTACTAATCACAAAAGATTTTAACACAACACGACCAGTTCAGAAATATAAAATCTACAGCGTTTGCGTGGCATCAAAGTTTTAAAGGCTGTCTGACAAGTTTACATAAAATACGCTTGCAGATAATATCTTCAATTTTTTGCCAATGTCACCATATTATCGCTGAAGCAGTTCCTTCGATTTAAAACAAAAACACCTAATTTAATAACCACCGCAATAGACAGGACCACAAAAATATTTTATATAAATTTTGTTTATATTCAGTTTTCGAAAAAATAACTCTTTACGGGCAAAAGTCTAATGTACCTGTGTGCGCCCGAAAACTACACTTTAAAAATAGGTATTTTTTTTTATAAATGATCTATTTAAATCCCGAAGTTCAGGATTCGACGGTGCCAGTATATATTCTTTGCCGTAAATGTTTCAATTTAATTTGTAACAATGACCAAACAAACAAATGACAAGATCCACCTTCACTTTTGTAAACATATTACAAATTTTGTTGTTTTCTGTGATGAACTGTTTGTAACAAAGCACCTGCTATCCAGGATATATCTAAAATGTGTCTTTAGCTCCGGCTATGAGTGTAATAAGGTCATTCTTGTCGTCCTGTGGTCAAGAAGGCTCAGGCGCGGGTGCTGGCACAGATGACAGCGGTGGGGTGCTTGAAGTCCCTTGCTGAGATAGTTCTGCCTTCACGCGACGAGCAATGTGCGAACGCGTATGCTTGCGGAGATGATCTTTGCGGTAGAAACCTGTAAAGGACATATTTAAAGGACGTTAAGATTTTTTCTTAACTGGTTGCATCACCGAGAAAAATAAATTAAATTGCCACTGAAAGCACTAAAATAACATTATTTTTCTCTTCTTGGCATTACGTGACAATTTAAGTGCGAGGAGCATAAAAATCAAATTAAATAGTACCTATTCTTAATTATTTAAATTAAACGTTACAAGTTTAAAGTTACAAGCTGCTTCCATTTACGGTAAAGATGATTTCTCTCACCTTTGCCACATTCGTTGCACACGTGCCTTTTCTCGCCAGAGTGTATGACGAAGTGTAAAGTGAGTTGTTCCTTCCGTTTGAAGGCCTTTAGACACACGGAGCACACGTGCGGTCGGTCTGGATTGTGTGACTGCTTATGCCGCGTCAAGTGGTCTTTTCGTTTTAACGCCGCGTTGCAAATGTCGCAGATGAACCTTTAAATGGGTGAATCTATTATCATCAAACATCAAAGTATTTAATTTATCTATGGTATGTATGTATTTAGAAATATATCAGTATGTTTATCAGCAGTCTGGTTACCATAGCACATGCTTTGCCTAGTATGGGATCAGACTGCCGTGTGTGAGATGTGTGAAGGTGTGTGGAGTTATCATCATCATCAAAGTGACTATTAACGAAAGTAGGCACAAGCTTAGTTTATAATCAATTTATCACATAACAGGTGCAAAGTATTGGTGATACGAATTTTAATATCATCATCATCATCACTGGTCCACTGGTCATAGGCCTCTCCTATTGCACGCCATTCGATGGATTTTCGGCTTTTTACATCCAACTCATATAAAATGTAGTTACATATACATTTTTTTTTATTTACGGGAATTTACGCTGATCCGGTGAGTCAGCCTGTGAATACGGCCAACCTGGTTGAAATTCGGTTAGGAAGTTAAGTACAATACAATGTAATACAAGAATTGCATATTATTTATGTTTTAAGGGTAGGTACTAGATAGAGCTCGAAGCGGGGCTAGTTGAGTATAATAAGGTACCTGCGTTCCATGGTATGTCCGACTAAATGCTGTTCCAATAACTCCCGTTCTGGGTATGCCATGTGACACTCTGGACAGCAGTAGAGAGTGCTGCCATCTGTAACAATTACTTTCTCTATCATCATCATCATCATCTCATCTATTGTGTCTATGATTAACAATAACGTTCTAATTTCAACAGTAGTTCGTATCATTGCAAGAAACAGAATTAAAAAAAAATAGATCTTCATACTGAATCTTAAAAAAACAAATGCGAGGCACATTATTTCGGTACCAACTGACTTTTTGAGAGGCGAGCGAAATCTGTCGGCGAATTTTGTCATTATTTTGTCTTGGCTACAAACCACTTAGGTATAAAAACTGAAGTTTTAGTCCGCTCGAGTCCGATTGACGCGTCATCGTGCACTTGTTAATGTGTTACAGTTGCGTTCTCTTAAACCCATGCCTGTTACCATAGGTTATAAAAAATAAAGTGAAATTTTCTCTTATTACTATTCATATACTATTTCTATAGTCTATAGACTATTAACAACCTTTGCAATGTTACGTATAATCTATTCGTATGAGCAATATCTCTTTCCTAGCATTACCGTCATACCAACTTTTGATTTCATATTCAACTCCCAATGTTCACATCACAGCAATAGTCAGAAGGCCCATTCTCGTAATAAAAGTTCGGTTTCAAATCATACAGTTCAGATCAAAAATCGATCTCATAACACTGTTATAAAAGGTATTTTTGTAGTGAAATAGTGAAGTATTACTAAGACTAGCAGATTACCTATTCAATTTTCTGTTACAATACAATACAGTCAACGTTAGATGTTTATTACTTTATTACGAAAATAATTTTTATGACAGTTTTGAGACCGAAAGTTGATCGGAACTGAATTGAGACCGAAGTTTTATTACGAGAATTGGCTTTCATTTTAAAATTACAGTCTTCAAATTGTGGGCCCCTAATACGCCTCTGCTTACCTCTTAGGGAATATAGGTGTGATCTTTTTAAAAAGTTATTTAAAGTTTTACCTAATGCAGTAGTGAGTCGGATCTCGCCAGGCTTGGGCCGCTGCTTCTTCTCCTTCAGATTTTTCTTTTTTTTCTTTCTCTTGGACACGCAGACGGTGTTGGTGTTACCGTTAGCTGTTTGGTTCATTATTGTTGCCGTTTGTACGACAACGCTGTTTGAGGGCATCTAAAAAATAGAAGTGTCACTCATATCACTCTCAAGAGCTCTGTAATTACTGTGTACATGTTAGATATAGGTTATAAATGAGATATCATTCGGATATCGGATCGAAAAAAACAGGTAGGATATCTAAACTAACCTTCAAAATTTGTATCACAAAAACTTTTATTTCTTTTAAGTATTTAAAAAAAAGTAGTGAAAAAAGTCGTCGGTCCCGGTTGCCATACGAATATCTATGGCAATCGTTACCGATAGTTAGAGAAAAAAGTCCGACAACAGTCTTTCCTCAGAACTTCGCCTACGTACTTGATTTGCGGAGGCATTTGTCTGATGGCAGTCTGGTCAGATGAAATTCTGCCGTTACGTAGTAGACTTAAAGATCCCAGTCTAATTTGGGATAAAGGCTCGGAGGAAGAGATAGGGTGAAAATATAAATTTAAAATTAACTTGAGGTCAATCAGTCTATCGCAGTCCATATCTAAAAATGCTATAAGAAAGATCAGCAAGACAGGATGTAATTGCAAATGTTTTTTTTTATCTTTACTTACCGTCGCAATAGTCTGCATACCATTCAATGCATTTGCATTGACAGTTGTCACAATAGTGGGCTGTTCTTCACGCTTGCTCTCTACTGTTGCCGGCGCAGAGTACTTCAGCAGGTGATGTAACGGCAGTGGTAGAGCGGAGAGGTAGTCGGCAACGCCACCACCTAGCGTTTGCCAGGTCGAGCTGTCCGTTACGTCCCCGATGCCTGACGCACATTGTACTATGGTGGGTAAGTGATAGACAAAATTGTGAGATGGTTATGATGGTGATACACTTAAATGTGGACGATATTGAATATAAAACATTTTAGCTAGTAACAAAAAAAACTTCGTAAAAATTACCGACAAGTAAATGAATTTATAATACTAAGCAATTTACATAAGCAATTATAATAATAAGCAAGCAAAAAAACAGTCTACCATATCCAAAGCTTTTTAATACTCTGTATCTGGATCTATTTTCATGTATTTCTCTACCCCTATCCAACTTATTAGAAATACAAGAGACGTTAAGACAAGTTTTTTTTGGAGAGTTGATTTTTTTGGATGGAAATTGCGAGAACATATTTTTTTATAAGAGATACATATATTTAGATCGCTCAGGTCGATACAGTATTTTGATCGCCCTGATGTTTGCAATTTTCCACTGTTCACCCCTCCAAAAAAAAATTAAATTTAGTACTGCGAGTGAAAGGACTAGCTCTGTTAACCCGTTTTAAAAAAAAGGGGGAATTAAATCGATTCTGGCACCTTTACGAGTGAAGAGAAGTCAAATACACAATAATAATTGTAAACTTTTATTACTTCTGGTGTAGTGTACAACAGCAGCTGTTATACACTACACCAGAAGTAATAAAAGTTTGCAAGTAGCATTCATGCAATCATTTGATAGATTTAAATGTGAAGGACATTCAATATTATTTACTTTATGAATAGATTGTACAAACAAACACAAACTGCCTAACCGTGCTTGATGATGCAAGTGTTATTGAACATTTGCATCATCCGTGGTTGGTTTCATTGACCAAAAGAATATATCTAAGAGTTAAATTTTATTGTTGTATGACGAAATAAATGATCACGTATTTCATTGCAATTTAGTTGTAGCTGAATTTATTAACGTTAGCACACATATTAATCATCCGTCAATAATCAATGTCTTTCTTAACAAATTTTAAAACTCATTAAACACTACTTCCAATAATAAGCTTTTTTTTACACTTGTGCCTTTAAAAAAGCGAAAAAAACATATTGAAAAATATGACATATTAGACACATGACATCATGGGATTACATACTGATAAACTCAGCAGGTGCGGTAGCCGCGGCTCGCTCAGGCCTCGCTTCTTGCTTGATGGCGCGCGCCAAAGCAGCCGCTTCCTTAGGCTCGTGTAGCACCACGAGGAGTTGTTGACCTTGCTGAAGCGGCGTTGTTTGAGTCACTGCCATAGAGATGTAATGATTATACGTAAATAATATTACTATGATCACATTACTAAACCAGTAAAGATTAATATTTTCGTAACTGGGACATGTCCAAGAACAAAGAACTTTTTTTTTCAATTATGTTGCGCACCAATAGAAAAGTACAAGCATTTAAGTTCTACATTGCAGCCTTTTTATGATTGACAGTTGTCATTTTCTTAATAAGGTGTTTTGTTTCTGTTTTATATCTAGTTACTTTGGAATCTTCAAAGTTGTTTACCTTGATGTTGCTGCATCATTGTCGCCATGAGATCGTGGTGTAGTTCTTCACGATATTCTCTTTTGTCAACTCTTTGTTCCGTCTTAAGTTGCTGGTGAACCGTCTCTGCCTGCACGTAACTCGTTTGTCCTCCGTACGCAATATTGCCGAGGTTCACTGAGGATGATGACGATATTGTTTGATATTTCACGCCGGTGTTCACTACAAATATTGAGTGTTGGTAACATTTAAATTCGAAAACGATCAAAATTATTGCTATTGTTTTAAAAGTAATTTACCAGTATGTAAAGGAGCAATCCCTGCAAGTGCTACAGTGCCTGGTTGGGCATTGCTGACAACCACCACACTCTCCCCCTGTCTGAACTTGACCCCATCAACAGACACAGTCCCTGACGCTGGTGCGACTGCAAACTGCAAACCACCACCACTTCCGGCGGCCTGGTAACGTGTCTCTTGCAGAACTCCTCCCGAACTGCTCCCGCCGCCTTCATATCCAAATTTTGCGGCGAACTGGTGAATAGTAGGGATCGCTGCCGCAGTCGGAATATGTCCAGTGAACGGTGCGAAGTTCATCGTAGTTTAGTGTATCTGGAAACGCGGCAGACATTTTCGTTACGCGAACGATGACGTCAGGAAGCGCAAGGTCGTAAGCTATACTCATAGAAGTGCACTCGTCCTGGCAGCAGGTGGAGTACACGGTGCGAGCCACAACAAAGTGAATCAAAGGGTGCGGCCCCTAGTAGGGCGCGCACTCAACCCCCGCCATTCTGCCTCACCCCAGTCATTTCTAACACTTTATTTTTACCGGCCCGCCGTCTCACACCATCGATCTTTGAGCGCGCACTTTAAGGTCGGGTGTTGGGGAATTTTGGTGCAACAGGAAGATATTTAAAACCTTACCTTGCCTCTGTTGGGAAAATGCCTTTTCATTACGTTTTAATTGTTCGTCTTCGATGAAATAAGTTACGTGAAAATCTTTCTGGTGCGCGAACATGCTGCGCGAGTGTACTGCGTCTGCGTGGTGCGATCTTGCAAAGGGGGCGGCGGGGGTGGGGCTACCGGCCCGGGCCCGAAGACGGCAAGCACACGTTCTTGAGTAGTTTAGCGCTGAGTATCCCCGAAAGGGATCTGAAAGAATATACTTATAAGTCAACTTATTATATATTTCATTCAGGGCCTTTTTGGGTCGTAGCATGTATTCTATAATACGATAGGGCCCTATATTATAATATTTAAAAATATATTACTAATAATATGATGCATTATATTTACAATGGATAAAGGATACTTTGATATATTCGCATATAACTTTGTAACTATGGCGTTCCTTAATACTTACATAATGTTATGTTTACAGGAATTAACGTGCTCACAATAGGAATTAAGTACTCATACATCATCATCATCATCAACAGCCTATAATAAGTAGTCCACTGCTGGACATAGGCCTCTCCTTAGAAAAGGAAGTTTTGGCCTACTATACCACGCTGGCCAGACGGGTTGTTATAGGGTTTATTTCAAGTTTTCCTTCTTTTTGTTCCCTTAGTCGGCTCTTACGACACCCATGGGCTGAATAGGGGCGGTGACATTATGTATTCTTAATCCGTCACCACACGGACTCCCTCATACATCCCTTTGAAATGCGTGACGTTTCGACCACGCGGCACTGACCGTGGTCACAAACTGACTACCCTGTGACTACGAGTAGGTGTATTGAAGAAATGTTCAAAACCTAGAAATATGTATGGAGTGATATTATGTAGGTGTCTATAAGCCAAATACTATGCACGTGTATCTTACGTGAAAGAAAATGTACTATAAGTAAACGAATAACACATACATAAAAATTTGTAATAACTTACTACAAAATTATTTTAGTTTTCAAATCTCGATTTTTCTTCATTCCTTAATGTTTCATTAATCATTATCAAATACATTAGGTAAGTATTATTTTTTCTTAAAATTTAAATTGGACCAAACGAAAAGCATTTAAAAAAGCTCCTTTTTTGAGGTCGGTCAATAACTAGATTTAGAAGTCGTTCAATTACTAGATTTTGCTCTATTTCGACAGAACTGTTACACGGTGAAACTTCTGGAGATGTACAATGTCAAAGATATATACTTAGATCACTAGCTGTACCCTGCCACGATTCCGTGTCTGTGTGGTACATTGTTGTTGCATTGATGAGAAATGAAGAACGAAATAGATAAAACAATCTTTAAAGCGGTTTATACATCGTGTCAAAGTTTGAGCTTAATCGGTGGAGAACTTTTTAAGTGTTTGAAGTGTACTCAAACCATCTTAACATTTATATGTATATATATATATATATAGATAAAAAGTTATACCTTTTTTTTGGTGACGGGGTGGAAAATCCGGAAATGACGGGGTGGAGGACCCGGGCCATGTGATTTCAGGTCCCCGCACCTAACTAGGCCCTATCCGACGAACTAGGCCCTATCCCAGGAGATAGGTTATACCTAAGCTCATTTCATTTGCGATAATTTCTTTGATTTAACTTGATTCTACATATTTAATTAGTTAATTATATGAATAAAATTGAATATTACTTACCTACTATTGCAAAATCCTTCTATATCGCTTACTGAAAAAAAACTAAAAATCAAGGTCAACATCGTGGCCGCTACTGTGCGCTATAGGGTTGTTACATATTTGTTTAATTGATCATTAAACTTTTAAATTTATCACGGACTTCAATGCGTCTTCCGTTACATAACGAATTATAATAAAATGTATTCTGCATTTCATAATTTTCCACCATTGGGCTGGTATTTTTTTCTTTAAATTTGTATAGGATGTGTAACTATACCCTTTCAAATAAAAAAGGATTGCCCATATCAGTTCAAAACTGAGGGCTTTCTGAATCCTATGAAAAATACAAACCAATTTGGAACATCCTCCTTCTTTTGCAGTAAGTTAAAATCATAGAGACATTAAGGAAAATATATGCCTTTATTAAGCTCAGAGAAATAGTTTAGTTTAGCTATGATAATTTGTGTCACAACTATCGAAAATATAGTACAATATTAAGGTTGCCAACCCTAGTACGTGGGCACTTAGAACCACCCTCAACATGTCCTTGGGTGAGCCGAGTAGACGTGGGGTTCACAAAGGGTGGGTTGCATTACAACTCTCAACCCCCTTCGTAGTGTAATAATGAAGGTAGATAGTAGGGTATGCAATTCATTTGATCGTATCTTTAAATATGGTTGAACCTTTTTACTTGTAGGCGTAGAATGAAGGTTTTTACTTGCTTAAAAAATTTTAGTATTAGATGTTTGCACACTACGCGTTAAATGACGAGGTGAATAATAAACAATTGACGTGGTTTTGGTTGCTAGAATGGACCATAATTAATTAGGTTTAAGCAGTTCTTCCATTCTTATGTTGTTTTTGAAGTGAAAACATCTTTAGGCGCGTTGGGCATTTTTGAACAACAAATAAAATAATGTATTTTATGGAAAAACAATTGAACTACTGTTACCGTTACTGACAACTCTGTTAAAGTGAAAACTTCCTTTTTTTCTTAAAAAAAAAACTCGCGACACTGTTACTAAACAAAACTGTAAGGGACAAAAGAGCACACAGGGCATCTAATGGCGAGTCCCTAACGCCCCAATGTACCCTGCAAACAAGAGTAACAAGTGCGTTGCCGACCTCGTTGAGAGCTCCCCCCTTTCAAGAATTAAGAAGAGGGGTGGGGTTGGACTCCGATTAACTCTCCCTCGGTAAAAGCAACTAAAAAAATGCTCAACAGCTGTTTTCGGTGAGTATCACTTCGATCGAGGCGGCCCAAACTCGCCGCTGTTTTAGTTTGCTTTGCATTCTACATAAGCTTTTTTTTAAGTTATTTAATCAACGACGACAACGTTGTTGTTGCCAGGTACTGCTACAGTATTTATAGTATGCGTGACTGCCTTGTATATTGTGATGTTCTCTTGCGATTCTACATCGATTTTTCTACAACTTTATAGAAAAAAAAGAAACCCAACTGTTTTGTGCTCATACTGATATTTCTTCGTACGTTGTACATAATATAACAATAAACAAGTATACAAAAGACGATCCTTGTGGTGACGGTTTAAGAATACGGAATGTTCATCCCGTCGGTGTGATAAAAGACGACTAAGGGAGCAAACTACGCAGGACAACAACACTGCAAGGAGAAAGAAAACTTGACACAAACCCTATACCAAACCGTCTGGCCAGCGTAGTATAGTAGGCCAAAACCTCCTTTCTAAAGAGAGGCCTATGTCCAGCATTGGACTATTAAAAGTTGTTGATTTGATGTGATGATGACATAACTGGCTATTAGTTCAGCGTATTGCCACTTCAAGAAACTAGCTATGGTATTCTGCTAACACCAAGGCATAGGCAGACAAATAGATTAATAACAGGGATAGTTGCCGTCTGCCGGCTAAAGATAGATTGGATTTGAAGTTGATTGATGTTAACACTAGCTAACACTAAGCTATTTACTGTTTAACATGGTCCGCATAGATGTACAGTGCTAATAGACATTACTTTGACGAACCTATTATGTGATACTTAAGCCGAACTGCCCACGTTATTACGTAAAACTAATTAAATTTACTATTTATAAATATATGTAAATGATTAAGGTAAACCGTATTGATGCTTATTTATCGATCAACTACTCATTGTAGTTTCTACTTTCGGCCTTTCTCTATTTTCTTTTCGCATTTTCCTTTCTATCTAATACCTTTAAACGAGAATGTTCTTGTCATCAGAATCTCGAAAACGGCTCCAACGATTTTCATTAGGTAAATTTATTATGGAAGGGGTTTCGGAGGCGATTAATTAATCTAATTAAGTTTCATTTTTAGCAAGTTTACCAAAAAAAATACCGAGCAAATCTCGGTCATCCAGGTACTTTTTGTAGTAAAATGGTCAACGTTTTAAATGGGTTGAAATTAAAAACATCAATTAAAAATCAGTGATTTATTCTTAGTATACTTACGGTATCATCTTAATAAATAAGTTTCATACAAAAGTTTACACTTATATTAACCTCAGACTGAAGTTACATGGTCTATTCGCTATGTCTTATCATTATAATACTTGCAACTAATTTCTTCATAAATGAAATAAAAAAATACAGTTTTAGGACATGTTTTTTATTTATCGGACTTTTAAAGCTTAAATGGTATGCTTTAATAATCTAATGAATAAAAAATGGTTCTTTTATTGGTTAACTACTAACGTTATCTATATAGATAACAGATAAGAAGTAAAGTTCTTGACCGAAGTAAACACATACGCCTAAAGTTACAAAATAATTTACTTTTTGAGATTTAGATCGGCAAAGCGAACCAGACTACGCAATACAACTACAAAGATTAATTAAATAAAATGTACAAAAATACAATTTTATTCTGTATAATTATTAAAAATAAAACGAAAACTCTATGGTCTAGGATTTGCACCAAATAGGTTCAATATGTAGTTCCGGCTTTATATTGTCTTCGTTCTGATATGCCAAAAGTGGGAGTTCCATATGGATTATGCGTTCAAGCACCTTGGACTTTCCATGTGTAACTAATAACCTACATGCCACGATTCATAGAAGCGGTACAAACTTAATACTAAGTACAAAAATATAATTCGAAAACAATTAACACCTACATTAAAGCTTGGCAATATTAATAATGTATGGTGGAAAGTTTTGCAATCTTATTGGGTACGTTTGTTTATGTGATTATTATAACCCACATGATCTACTTTTTTTTTTAAACATCTAATGGTTTAAATTTAGTATAAAGTTAGTGAAAGACTTTTGTTTAAAGGGACCTCATCGGTCCCCAGATTTCCTTTTACAGATTTTATCAAGATTATTTTCTATCCTTTATTTAATACTAGGGCACCAGTTTTGTTGCATCAAGGTTGCAAAAGGTAGGATATTAGTTTATCTGTTTAATAAATAGTTATAATAACACGATGTCCCAATTAAGATAGGGGTAACCACGAAATCCGTCGTAACTGATAACTATTGTCATGACCTGTGTAACAAACTAAGTATAAAAAGAAATAAATATGGATAAAAATTATTAACAACTGTTTTAGATTCACTTAATTATATGTATTATGATTTCTCAAGTGTGTTCATGAGTTTAGACGCGTGATATCGTGAAGTTTTTTTCTATTTGAATTTCGTAAGGATGTCAATTGAGAAATTATTTTCATATGTGTATACTACCGCCGTAAGAAAATAATACAGTAAGTAGCAGCTGCCTGTGGATTGGTCCTTTGGATAATGATTAAAACATTTGGATTAAATGCAGAATCTCAAAATTGAGGGCTTAAAGTCCAATTTTAACATTGTCTGTATACGACAATCATAATTTTATAGCTTTAGTTCGGTGTGTATTTTGAGAATTTTTACATAGATTAATAACTTGTTAACTGTTTAATAAATTTTTGTAATCCGAAGCCGTATTTAAAAAACTGAAATTATTATTTGCGATAATTACAACAACTGGGTATTATCAGTTCAAAAATTTCGTCAATCTGATTTGTAAAAGTTACATCACGCTACGATTATTAAGAAGTCGGCAGTAGTTATATACCCATATTTATATAATGCATGTGAAACAGCAGTTTTATTTTCTTATGCGATTCTAGCACTTCAGTCGCTGGGACATAAATAACTTATCACAATAGCTGCATGGATGGAGAAAAAAATATGAATACAAAATAAACGCGTAATGTGAAGCAAAAAGCGTGGATAATGATATAAATATCACAGTGGGTATGATATTTACAATGTGGGATAATCTACACTAGTCAAATGTCACTCCAGGCTGGGAAATATTTTCAAGTAACGAAAACAGCTCAATACAAATATTTACAGAGACCTTCGATACATACATACGATTCTACATACAAAATCTTGCCTCTTGTCACTAAAGTTAATGATTTAATAATGTAGTTGATTTTCGTTGATGATTTTATAGTAATACTAAAGTGTATAGCTAGCAGCATTGTCTAAACGTGATACTTAATTTGATTATAGATTATATTTTTCGAGTATTGTCCTTTACCTTATTCATTCAAGTCGACGCGAACCTCGACAGATTACAGGTACTGTCAGTAACCTACATGATAATAAACAACTCTATTTTTTAAAATTCTCTTTTGAATTAGAATTTCTTTGCCACCTGATCATAGAAAAGGTTTGCCATATAAAAAAATAATAATTGACATATGGCAACTATCTAAATGTCATGTTGCAGTTAATTACCAGTTTAATCCTTAAAGGCACTTAACTTCCAAATATAGCTATAATACCTACTTAATAGATACTTTCACTTATATTATTGTAATAATAATTTATTTATCCAAATTGTAATAAAAAAATTCATCTTTCAAAAAAGTGTTCAAGAACATGATTTTTTCAACAATAAGAGTTATTGTATTCACCTGGAATAACATTTGGTAATCATAAAAGCTCAACTTATACAAGCCAACTTTTACATTTCACTAACGGAATGAGAAATGTCATGTCATGGTACAATTCAAATTGGATACAAATTTACAACACATTCCAATGATATGTGGATACAAATAAAATCTTGTTTATAGTACATGACGTTTAGTAAACCTATATTACATTGTAGTATTATATAATATTACACTATTAATTTCATTGTAGGTAGACACACGTGCTGTACGAATCTGCCCCATGTTATGCTTGGTTTAATTGACGGTAGGTTAAATTAATTGTGCCTAAAACTAAAGCAGCAAGAGAAACTTACACGTGATAGTGCTGGAATCATGATTCTAGTCGATCGCAAAACGCGCACGCCCGACTAATATTCTTAATTTGAATCTTTCGTAACGGCTAAATATGCAAGAAAAATGACGATATTTTATATCAATTTAGATATACACCCATCAGTACACTTTTTGTTTTATAATTTTAATTTGCAGAATATGTTCTGCAATGTTAATAATATTTATTACTCACTAGGTTAAACTCAGACTTTTACACCGAAGGTTTTAGGGTGAGGCCTAACGAGCATAATTATTTGCGAGTCGCGTAGAATGAGTAGCAAAATTTAGCATTCAGTTTGTCACAAAGGTACTACTTGAGCTGTGGCGCAAAATAACTTGTCGTGAAGACTCACGCGCATTATTTGAACCGAGTTTGATGCTAACACATTAGCTCGAGGAGCTTAGTACAATAGTTGGATAGCAACTGAAGTTACTTCTGTCCGTCTGACAGTCTAACCGGATTTCAGTTAAACGTAAATTTCGCAAATCAAAATACGCGTAAATTGATCTAACTTATAAAATTACGCTCGTTTAGCCTCACCCTTAAACTTCTGCATGTTTCGCTTACATAACAATGATGGGTATGTTTTGATTATAAAATATCGTCACTTACTTGATTTACAAATACTTTATACAATTCTCGTCACACAGTTTCAACAGTGTGTGGGGCTCGTAATAGTTCTGACATACCCTGTTTTATAAGTATATCCATTTGTTCCTCATGTACATGGAACGGATTTCACGAAAACCGACATGAGATGGATTTTTAAATATCATAAATATCAGTCAATGCATTTTTCTTTTTTAACATTAACATTGTATCAAAACCGAATCATACAAGCAGTACAGTTTTAATATATGTAAATATAGAAAAATATTTGTAAAATTGTCTCCTTATTCAAGATTTACTTTCTACCCGCGCGGACCGATCTGTACAGTTTTGCAAGGGAAATCGATATCTATAATTCGTTTCGATAACCGATACTGACATTTCATTTACCAGGCTTAATTATTTCAACATTATTCACAACCAATAGACAATTGTATTTTTTCAAATAGGATCGTTTATAGTTTCTTTGTACGAGCAACGTCGATCGTTAAGCTAATATGAAAACGAATGTGCTTTACAAACACTTCTTAGAAAACTGTTTTTTGTATTACTGACTATTCGTAAATCATTAATTTATTAATTACTATTGTCTCGACATTAAATTTATATGAACGTTTTCGATACAAAAGATATTTGATATAATATATGTATCACATTTCGGAATCCAATATACAATACATAATTTGTTAACTCGATTATAAAATAAGATTTATCTGGAGCATTATTCTGTCGGCGCTGAGGAGGTGGGCGACGGGGGGCGTCACGAGTGGTGCTTGAGGAGCGCGTCGAGCGCGTGCGCGTCCTGCGCCTGCGCCTGCGCCTGCGCCGCGGCCAGCGAGCTCACCACGTGCTGCGGGATGTTGATCTGCACCGGCACCGCCGAGCTCGAACTCGTCGGTATCTGCGCAACGATACACCGACGGTTTAGTACTTACGAACTGTATTTTTTATCGTATGTACTTCACCGGTTATAACTTCAACAAAAGAACAAGTGATTTTTTTCTTGCCTAAAGCGGGTATTGTATTCTTTTATACTTTATATTAATATATATTGTTAAAGCTTTATATCTGAAAAATATAAGTAAAAACTATAATTTCATTATCCACACAAAGTTACATCAAAAATGATAAGCTTAATATTCCGAGACACTGTAATGTGTTTACTATAATCTTCGTAACTAAATAGGGGAGTAAAGAAATAAGCAAGTAATAACTAACGTGTATGGTAATCTCAGGCAGTATGGTGTTGGCTTGCGCCTGCGCAGACAGCGGCGTAGGCGGCGGGGGTGGGGCGGCCCCCGCGCCGTCCTGGGCCGCCTCGTCCCGCGCGCGCTTGCTCTCGTGCGAGCGCGTGTGCTTGCGGAGGTGGTCCTTGCGGTAGAAACCTGCAGATATATTGTTGGCACATGTTTATATGTATAGAAACAAATAGTTTTTTAGTTTTCCACCAATGATTCACTTTAAATTAATGATCATACCCATGTCATATTTTTGTTACCCTACAAGATAAGGGCTAATCAACGATGCTTAGACGAATATCAGAACAACCCTCCTCGTGATTAAAGTCGATGCTGAGTGTATATTAACTTGAATGATAAGATTTATTATTTTCCTTTAATTGAAGCAATGTAAAGAAACAATACATGTTGAGACGTTTAGTTTCATTATTTTTTTGCTGTTTTCTCAGACTATGGCATTGCAACAATTACATTTGAATTTACGTGGTAAACACCAGTACTCCTATTCCTTACTATTCGACTATGTTGAGTGCTCTTTTAAATATATTTTGAACCAAATCAGACAGAACTGCTTATCGATATTTGACATGCCCAACTAGTCGAATATAAACCTGGACTGTAGCACAAGGACACAAGAGTATATAATGTACCTTTCCCGCACTCGGTGCACATCTCGGTCTTGACGCCGGAGTGTATGACGGTGTGCAGGTTGAGATGCTCGCGGCGCTTGAAGCCCTTGCGGCACACGCCGCACACGTAGGGCCGCTCGGGGTTGTGGCCCAGCTTGTGGCGCTCCAGGTGCTCCTTGCGCTTCAACCTGCCACACACGTTACTCGATCATCATTCTAGGTATTCTGTTACGAATTAAATTTCACCAAAGTTTTTGTTATTAGTAAAAATTTGTTGTGAAATGATATGGATTATGAAAAACTTTCCGATATGGTGACGGATTAAAAATACGGAGCGTCACCGCACCTGTTCATCCCGTAGGTGTCGTAAGAGCCGACTAAGAGAGCAAACTACATAGTAGAATGGTACGATAAAGAGAAGGAAAACTTAAAACAAACTCTAGACCAACCCGTCTGGCTCCCAAATCTGAGGAGACGCTGAGAGAAATTTTTAAACCTTGTTTTTTTTTATATATAACAAAATAAATCGATCAATATAATATTTAAATAATCGATATCATCTTTTACTTTGGACAAACGATGTCAAATAGTGTAATATTTAGTCGTCTAAGTTTGTGTCCTTTATTAAAAAACAGTAGGTACAATACTTTTTTTTACTTGCGGAAACCCCCTCGGGATTTGCGGCAGGGTGGTGTGTCGGAATCGGACCGACCGACTAAAACCGCACGGTGTGCCACTCTGCGCCTGCCATAGGAGGGATCCGGGGACTGCTGCTATTAGGACGTCCAGAGTAGGTACAATACTAACCCAGCCCCGCATATACCGCATATAAATCTTCTTTCAATGTTGTGTCCCAACAAATGTACTTCTAGTTGCTCTTTCTCTGGGTAAGCCATCTGGCACTCTGGGCAGCAAAATATAGGTGTGCCGTCCATAGCTGTGGCTATGACAACTTGTCCTGGCTTTGGCCGCGCCGGCTTCGGTGGTTTTTTCTTGTATTTTTTCTTCTTTTTACTTTGTATCCGGACTGAACCATCTAGGAGAAAAAAGTATTGTAGGAATAACTTAGTAAAATGAAAAAAGTTTTACCAAAAAATATACCAGTTTTTTAAAAAATACACGTATATTAAATGGAGTCAACTTTAAAATAGAGTATAGCCGGATTTACACAGGTTAAGTAAGTAATATTTTTTCATTTCATTTTCATTTCTTAAAAAAGACAACGCCCGCATTAGGAATAAATCCTGTGTCGCGGGGGACTTTACAATCATACATGAAACGGACACAAAGAACACCCAGACTCAGAACAACAATTTGTGAATGACACAAAGTGTCGTCCCATGTGGGGTTTGAACCCACAACACTCGGCGTAGTAGGAAGCGGCGTGGCGACCGCTTAAACCACTACGTCATCCGTGCAGTCATATAATAATAATATTTTCACACATCTCACACACGGCCCTCGTTATAGATAGAGTACCCCCCAGACAGAACAAATGACCATGCTCATCACACAATTATTTGCCCTGGGTAGGAATCGAACCCACGACCTCAGGCGTAGCAGTCAGGGTCACTAACCACTAGACCAACAAGCCGGTCCGTGTGTCTCCACAGTCGAGACAATTTAGTACTGAGGACATTCTTACGCATTATTTTTTCGTGCCCGCGTTACTGACTTTGTCTCAACGACCAAGTCAGTGCTTGGTCAGCCACTGGCGCTGCGTTGTAGGGTAACTACGATGTGTAAATTAAACGAGGACATTTACAGATCGGCTCCACCCCAAGGTTGGCCGGAATTAGGTCTTATGCATTACATTTTGTATTTAAATAAATAAATAAAATGTTAACAACACCTATAGGACCACAAGATTACAAATATCTTACCTTCACCGAAGACAGCCTCGGCCACCGGTTCTTCTTTAACTTCATCACTGGCGCCATCTTCCTCCATCTCTATGGGCTCCTCCTTCTTGACATCAGACGATGGATTGAGTCGCAGGAACTGTTGTAGTGAAACTGGTAGTTGCTGTGTTTGCTGTAACAATTTACATTCAATTGCCATTAATTCATAATAATAAATTACATTTAATAGCTTTTTATAACCCCCCGATATACATACATATCTCAAGCGCAAAAGCTTTTAAAATATAAGCGCTCAAGGGAGCTGGCAATTCTTTAATAATTATGATCAGAGTCATTCAGCAGTTTTCATATATATTACGTGTACGTCATAGATTTTTGGTTTTGACGAGCAGAGATTGTGATCTGAGACAAAGGTCTAACAAATCGAAATTTATGCGAGCGCAGCTGCAGGCAAAAGCCGGTCATAAAAAATTAATTACCTAATTATGACATAAAAAATTCGTACTGCATGAAAACTTTGAACTATGTTCATTAATTAAAGTAAAAGAATCGTTGTGTTAGTTACCAGTATGTATGCACGTTTTTACGCAGTGTAAATAGTATAAAAGGATATGGGACATACCTGTGGTGGCAACTGGCTGAGGTACTTGACTAGGTCCTGTTGATTACCGCCGATCTGCCACTGTATGGTCTCGCTGTTTTCAGTGCCTTGAGAACTTTCCTGAGAATAAATATAATGTGGGTGTGAATTTTGATGAATTTTATTGGCCTAGTGCGTTAGTCTGATGCAGTGATTCCCAAACTATTTTGGGCAAGAGACTCTTTTCTAAAATGAAGTGATACCTCAGACCCCCGTAGCCAACTTACTGCACGCTTATCGACTTGTTGAGTTTTTTAAAAGCACAACAAATGATACTTCCTACTAAAATATTAGTCATCCTTATAGCAAGTTGCTACACGTAGTACAACTAATGCAGTATCTTGAAAGTTTCAAATAAGAACTTGTGTTAATTAATGGGGTTCGATTTTTAGACCTGACTGCTAAGCCAGAGGTTGTGGGTTCGATTTTCACCCAGGACAAATATTTGTGTTATGAGCATGTGTTATTTGTTGTGTCTGGGTGTAATTTATCTATAAGAAATTTATAAGTATATAATAAAGCAGTCTGGTTACCGTAGCACAAGCTCTGCCTAGTTTAGGAACAGCGGCCGTCTGTATGAAGTTATTATTCTTATTTACTAGCTGCGCCCCGTGGTGTTACCCGCGGTTTATCAATTCTACATCCATACGGACTAAAGTTATTAAAATTGGTCCTGCAGTTTCAACGTGAAAAAAGTAACAAATATACAAACACACACACTCACAAACTTTTGCCTATAAAATATTAGTGTTATAGTCTAAATATATTTTACCCACCAGACAAAATTCAAACATCTAATTTACTATTCTCCAATAAAATTTAATTATTTTTAATTGATAAAAATAACAGTTAGTCATTTAGTACTTACATCCACAGACACAACAATAAAAAGTACTAATGTCTTTTGTTTTTAATTATTTATATCTAGACTCTAGAACCGAATAACATACTTAATTTATGTCTAGATAACGATAACGGTAGGGAAAAAATTTCGTGAATAGATACCATTTGAGTTTTGGGTATATTCCTTTATTTTAAGAAGACAATTCTCGCATTAGAAATATATCCTGTGTAGGGGGGTACTTTACAAATATACATGAAACGGAGACATAGAACACCCAGACCTTAGAACAACAATTTGTGGATCACACAAGGTGTTGTTCCGTATGGAGATCGAACCCTCAACACTGCACGGTAGGAAGAGGTGAGTTGAACGCTTAATTAAATGTACATGGTTGAATAAATACGGTCAGAAACTATTGAATTCATAAACTCACATCATCATTAACATTTTCTTCACACTCCTCCTTTATGATGATATCAGTGACGCCGGTGTTGTTGTTGTCAGTCGACGTGTTGTTGTTGAGCGTCTTACCGTCCGGACTGTTGATTATTATCTGTTGATTCGGCGTTATGAACACCTGCAAAATATATTGTTGATTACTTAAAGTGGCAAATGTTTTAAAATGGACGGATTTCAACCTGTATGTGTTTACAAAAAACTGAAAAACAGAAAGTACTGGTACATTGTTACATAACCTTTTTTATAGGCAACTCCCGCACTAGGAATATATCGTGTCGCGGTGGACTTTACAAACATACATTAAACGGACACACAGAACTCTGACTCAGAGCAACAATCACACACACATCACACAGTGTTGTCAAATGTTGGGATCGAACCCACAACACTTAGCACAGTAAGAAACTGTGAGTCGTTTAAACTCTACGTCATCCGTGCAGTTAGTTGATTATTAATAGGCAGAACACGGCTTAATGTGGCCTATCGGCTTACCAAAGCATCTATAATGTTTCTAATTTTTATGAATGAATCTTAAGTAGTGCATTTTTTACTACCTGATGCATCTGCGGCTCCTTCTCCTGCGTCTGTTGCACAAGTTGCATTTCCTGTGGTAAAGCTGCAAGCACTTGAAATCCTATGAAATCAAAAACCAATAGCTCAGACTTAAGAAGTTTTTTAAATGAGTGAATATGTGTATAAGGATTTATTTCATAAAATAAAAAAAAAACTGTTTGAATTCTAGTCTATGAAATTAGATTTTTCAGTCAATGGTAACAGTAAGTTTTCTTTTAGAAGGAAATCAGTTGAATTGCATTTGACCTTCTCAAATTACACTTGTTCGAATTTTAAAATAAATTAAAGTTGTCCTGAGAGAAGGTTGTAAAAACAGTGCCATACACAGAATAAAGTCTATATATTGTGTAAGTGCATGTCCAGTTTATGTTTTATTTATGATCTCAACGTGTGGTGATGGAATACGAATACCGAGTGTCACCACCCCTGTTCATCCTTTGGGTCTCGTAAGAGCCGACCAAGGGAGCAAACTACGCAGGAGAACAACACTGCAAAAAGAAGGAAAACATGACACAAATCCTATCCGTCCGACCTACTATACCAACATGTCTCGCCAGCGTGGTATATTAGATCAAAACCTTCTTTCTAAGGAGAGGCCTATGTCCAGCAGTGGACTACGAAAGGCCCGCTCTCAAATACATAACATTATTGTGTATTAGTATTAATTATGTTCTCATGTTAATTGAATTGTATAAGAATAAATATAGTAACTACATTTATGATTATTTAACATTAAATTTAATGGTACTGTTAGATTATTTATTTAATCATAAAGCAAATAACATTTAGCAGTTAACTACACTATTACTATTACCTATATTTCTTAGCTATGTGATTCTTAAACACAAATAGCGTAACAGGTGCTTAAAACATAAATGTGCGCTTTGGTTAGTGTTCACATAGTGCTTAAATAAATGCTAAATCACCTGATCTCATCCTGAGTGCACCTGAACATGGAAGTTAATACATATGTATTACTCATTTAGAAATATAAATATTTAAATATCGGCTGCAATTAGTGAATAATATCGTGGGAGAGGCATGCTCCTATCATGAGTTTTACCACGGCCTCCCAGAAAAGCGGTGTTAAGCAGTTCTAGCGTTGCTTTTCATTGAGTGAGGGTGGTTACCGGAGTCTTAACCCTCCCCTGAGATTCTGGGGGAAGGAAAGGGCGGCAACAAGTCTGTGACTCTCGAGTTGCAGGAGCCCATGGGCGGCGTAAGTCACTTACCATCAGGTGACCCATCTACTCGTTTGCCCCCCTACGCCATAAAAAATTATATCACTGAGTAGTTTCTTTTTTATTTCTGCTAGACTTGGCAAACATTTATAAAATAATTGACAATGTATAACTGTTATAAAAAATTTAGAGAATGTAATCAACCTACCTTCACCTAGTCCCCCTTGTCCAACAAGCTGAATGCTGCCAGTCTCGTTCGTCTCAGGCGAGTACGCAACTGTAAGAACTGCACCACCTTAAAAAATATTCCATTTATGACCATAGCACTACGTAAAAAGGTATAAACAATAACTATTAAAAAAAAATTGACCTCCTTTTGCCTTCGTAGTCGATAAAAAGTGAATGTGTGAATTATTCAAGAAACTAATTGATTTGGACAGAATACTTGAATTCGAATTCTGTTCAGATGATATTTAGGTAGTTATAGTATACTGCCAAGAAGATGGACTAAGGATCCGATGAAGAGTGACGAAGAGTACCACTCTTGGCGAACATTTAAGAAAAAGATTGTAGCATAGCGTTTAATGTTATTGGAAAAAAAAAATTGAATAAAATAAAAGAAAATTTATATTATTAACTACCCTGTTCCCTGCCACGCTTCGCTATGTCACATTGGGATTGAAATGATGTGAAATAAAGCAGGTTGTATATTGTGTCAAAATTTGATCTCAATTGCTACAGAAGTTTTTGAGTTTTTACTAACTAACTAACTCAACATTTTCCTTCAAACAACTTCCTAAAATATCATTGAACTATACATATTTTGGATAGTAAAAGAACATGTCTCCTTAGTATTTCTGTAAAATCTAATACTATGGAGTTAGTGGGCAGACTGTGAAAGCAATTGTAGTAGTAGCAATTGTACACAATAAGTTGTAATGCCGCTCACCTTGTTGAAATCCTTGAATTGGAATTTGCATCTGATACTTCGGTTGCTGTTGAGTTTGTATCAAATGGTTTGGACTTAGCACCTGGATCTGTACTGTGGGTTGAGGATCACCTAAAAAAAATGATACTTTATATAAACCAATGTATTATATAACATAAAACATACTAAATATTTCTCCATACAAGAAATAAGAGCATTATACTACATAATCAGAGGCATTTTTCTTTCATAAATATTGATAGACTTTATCACCAGTCCCACACTAGCATTCTCTGTGTCTCGAGGACCAGCCCCAAAATGTAATGTATGCCATGATGAGTGAATAAATGATGGTTCTACTTACCAGGCTTGGCTCCCGGTAACGCTATGGGTACCGATATGAGTTGTGGTGCGGCCTGCAGGGTAGCGCCACTCTCCAGCGTCCGCACGTACTGTACCCCACCCTCGCCCATCGCCAGGCACATCTGTAACACAAAGCACATCTCATTAAAGAATTAAGGTAGAATACCAATTTTAAATAGGGCAAAGGAAATCTCGATAGGATTTTCAGAAAGTTCGCTAATACACGTTTGTTCTAATTCGGTAATTGAATTAGAATGAACATAATTTCTTTTTTCACCTAATGGCCACCTCAGACTGCAAGACTACTTACTACTTACTATACTTTGCTGCATTCTTGTACAACAGAGTCAATAGAGTACTTGATATTTATCCATACTCTACCCGTAAATGTAAGAAACTTAACGATGACTGGTTGGCTGCTTTTACGTATGACGAATTGGAATTGTTAGTGAAGATATAGGGTCACTGAAACTGTCTCCAGCCCTTCGACTCACACATACTTATAATCACAGGGATGCGCGAGTCACATACATATGTGTATAAATACACACATATACACGAACATGCATATACACACATGCATACACTTACACTCATTCGGTGAACGAAAGAACACCGGTCGAGCCTGACCCCTTTGTGTCGAGGCATGACAAGCGACAAAACGTGCTTGGGAAGAGTTTAAAGTTGCCGTTTGTTTGTTTCTTCCCTATTTATTTGCGAATGGAACATCCGATAGAATTGAATGCCCAATTACCTTAATTAGAAACGAAGTTACCACGGATTTAGATAATATTATATCGTGGATGCAGCATTATATTGTTTACGGATTTTTCACCCCTAAGGGGGTAAAATGGGTGATTAAGAGATGAATGGTTGTATGAAAGTTAGTCATTTTCAAAATAATAAACAGGAAATAAGAAACAATCACGCAATCTAGTCCTAGAATGTAAATTAATGTACGTTTTTTTGAGAAATATTTTCTATCAAAGTCTTCTTCGGTTTCAATATACATAACAGCTGGAATATAGTTATTGCATGATACAAACATTTTAAACTCGTATACCATCTGTACATGCCATGAATGCCAAAATTTCCCACGACGGTAATTTTGGATCCAGTTCACACGATAGATAGAAATGAGGTGCCATAGTTTTCGAGGACCGGTTATGAACTATAAGAAACATTGCAAGCTGATCGAAACGCTAGTGGCATGGAAATGTTTGATCGACTTCAAATAGTGAGCAGTAGGTACCAACTCCGGTAAAAAAACATAAATATAAAACTACTGAATCAATTTTCTCTTTAGTAAAACGTGGAAATAGAAGAACAGCAGATTAGTATTCGAAACATGGACAATTGCATTAGATAAAAACCATCTTTGAAGCGGGCTGTATATCGTGTCAAAATTTGAGCTCAATCGGTGCAGAACTTTCTGAGTTTTTAAAGCGTACACAAACCAACATAACATTTTTATATACATAGATAGATAAAAAGTATATTTATCAGCAGTCTGGTTACCATAGTACAGCCTTTGCCTAATTTGGAATCAGACGGCCATGTGTAAGATGTATCGGGTTATTTTCATTTATGAATTACAAATCTATCAAATACTATCTGCATACCTATATACATCAAGGCAATTCGAATGCGAAACTTACGTTTCTCGAAAAGAAAAATTTTGTTAGCATGTGTTTCACAAATCCTTTGTTTCAAGTTTATGCAACAGAATGTGCAGTTTCTAATTCAATTGTTTAGCGCCACGGCTTTCACTCCTTGCGTAATATAATTTAAAAGCAATTTATTATAGTTCTACATATGAAATATATTTCATATTTTTCTTTTGAATATACTATCTAATGCGACTTTTTAGATAAGGCACTATAAATGTTATATATACAAACGATTAAACCTCCTTTCGCGGCGCTATAATCTAGGACTTTCTTTAGAAAGTTATGGAATGTTTAGAAATACATTGTAAACGATGACTATATTTAAATTTACAACTCGTAACCGTTTCATGTTTACATTGTAAGTAACGCACATAGCACTGGGTGATTGCTTGTATCAATTTCTTATCAACCACTAAGGTGTTATAATAATCATGATACCAGCCATAGGACGTCCATTACTAGAGATCGACCTCTCACAAGGGTTTTAAATAAAACCACTTGGAAACTGCCTGCATCTACTTTTTTTTGTTAATGGGACTAATCCCTCCCACACGCCCACCATTGTAACTCCTGTACACCAGGATCAAAAGCGGCGACCTACGAACACACCGAGTTATGACACTCGGAAGTCCCAGGAAAAAATTAAACTGTCTTGGAACCCGCAAGAAAATTAATAAGAAGAAAATTGGAGGAGTACGAAATACAATAAAGCCTGCATCCACTGTTCACCTGCGATCTTTATAAGGTCATCTAGTCACCTTGCCACACCTATGCCACACTTTCTGGCCTCCACTCCCGAAGATCAATACTCGTAATGAAATGTAAACGTTGTAAAATATTAAACGTCCAACATTGACTGTAATGTGACCGAAAGTTGCTGTCTTAGTAATACTTTATTACTTTAATACGAGAATACTTTTTAAGACATTTGTGACTGGACTTGAGGAACTGGAGTTTGAACGAATTTTTATTAAAAGAATTGACCTTCAAAAACTATCGGCTCCATAGACCATCTGTTCTGCGTGCTCCGTCGTTGATCCGTTGCGCTATGTCAGTAAACTCCATTTCTCTAAGTATCTTCTCATTTCTGATTCGATTCCATGGAGAAACTCTAAGCATTGCCTTCTACAGAGGTCATTGAATGACTCGTGAGCTTATTAGTTTTATTCCGCCCATAGTGACAGAGACCAGATTTATAATATAATATCATCCCTGGTCCAAAATCTATGTCTGTTTTTGTTTCTTATCCATTAGAAGTATCTAATTTCGGAACAGTTTTTAAACTTACCGTGCCGTCGTGGGTAAAAAGTATAACAACAATAATTTAAGAAATCTTTAGAAACCCCGGGCCGCCTGATCCGAAACTATACAGGCTGTTGTACTATGACACCTAGTCTGTTAATAAACACTTATTTATCTCTACATACATACAACACATATTACAGAAAAATTAAACACAGAACAAATAATAATCCTTATCACACTATTTGTCCAGTGTGGGAATCGAATCCACGACCTCTAGCTTAGCAGTATAGATCCCTAACTATTAGACAAACAGGCCAGTTAATTGAAAACTTTTTACAGAGAAAGATTTTTTAAACCTACATCTACAAAATAATATATTTTATTCTTAGGCTTACCAACAACTACTTATACTAATACAAAGCTATAAATAATAGTATAGTAACCTTTTACAGGCAAGCACAGCATGCACAAATTATTTACAGCTGATAAAGTGAAGTTATACAGTTACAAAAAACAATCAGACAGTGATTGATGCAGTAGCCATAGGCCACTTTAAAACAAAAATGGTAATTGAATTAATATGTAAGATTCTGAAAAAATATGTTTCTTCCAAAGTGTCCAGTTTAAGGCATTTATTAAAATGCTATAAAGTAGTTTTTATTTGTTTATTTAAAATTTAAATAAGTAGTAAAAACTTTACATACTAAGTTTTGAACTTTGCAAATATAAACACAATGATTCATTCAATTTGAAAATTATAGCAATGACACCACAATTGCATGCCCATATATTATTATGAGAATAAATGGCACCCCAACAACGCCGTCGCACCGCGCCGTTGATAAAATATAACAAATTCATCAACATTTTTGAAAAATTGTTTCAAATTTCTATCCTCTAGAAATATAATCATATTTAATGTTTATATAGAACAAGTGCAGAAAATATATACAGGATTGCATATATCATTTTTTTATTATTATTTATTAATAAATTTCTTTCTTTCTTTCTTTTCTTTTTTTTTTTTTCTTTTAAAAAATACAACTCCCGCATTAGGAATAAATCCTGTGTCGCAGGGGACTTTACAAACATACATGAAACGGACACAAAGAACACCCAGACTCAGAACAACAATTTGTGGATCACACAAAGTGTCGTCCCATGTGGGGTTTGAACCCACAACACTCGGCGTAGTAGGAAGCGGCGTGGCGACCGCTTAAACCACTACGCCATCCGTGCAGTCGATAATAATAATAATAAAGTGCAGAAAGCTAAAACATTTTTAATATATCCTGAGTCACAGGGGACTGTACAGACATACATGAAACAGACACAAAGAACAACCAGGCTCAGAACAATAATTTGTTGATCACACCAAATGTTGTCTAATGTGGGGAACGAACCCACTGTGCAGTCAAATTTAAATAATATGTGCAAGAAGAAAAAATTATGTGAAAGAGCTACAAGAAGGATCCTGTATATGTTTTGACCTGTCTAGAAAACTCTATAAAGTTGCAGTTCGAGTCTATTTAATTATTGTGTAATGTTTCTATGTAGAGTGCATGCTTACATACACATGGTGTCCAAAAGTCAATCAACAAGATTTATAACATTTTACCTGTGGTATACTTCCATTGTTTGACACATTCTGCTGTATTTTAGTGACTGGTAGCTGGCCTCCTGTGGTCACAAAGTGAGTGCCAGCAGAGCCCACCGCAGAGAATGCAGCAAAATTCATATCAGACTCTTCCTCACTGGAAAAAATATTATGACTAAGATTTGTGACATTTTGTATATCAAAATTAAAATATTTATATTTATGTATGTCATAATATATTATTACTATGTTGTATAGATATATGTAAGGCTCTCACTTTGCTTCAGAATTTTGTTTCCTTGCAATACAAAGTTAAAAAGGGCCGTGAGGATCTATGGACCCACGGTTGGAAAGAAATGCCGCAAGAAGTGTCGGAAGAAAGACTTGTTACACATTCTTCGGTCATTTCGTTCCAAAATCCTATGTTAATCTTATTGATTATACTTATAATCAGCATCAATTATTAATAAACACATTTTATTGTTGTGAATACCCATGACCCATATAAGTTGTAATAATCTTTTCTTATGAGCTTTTACTGTGATACTAAATCTGATAACAATAGTTTTTTTTTTTTTTTTAACCATATTCTGATATTTTAAATGTTCATATATTGTGCATGGAATCCTAATTGTCTCCAAAATGAGATGATGCCTTAATAATATCTAAGGAGACCTGATAACATCATCTGCCAGTTAAAATACTGTGAAAGTTTGTAAATATAAACATTTAAAAATTAGATTTTCTGGTATAAGTAGACTGTGAATGATATGAATCTAAATGTTTCCAAATTCATTTCACAAAAACTGTTTTATTTTGTTGCTGTTGTTATTTTGATGATCATTGATTGATGATTGTTGCACACTATTCCTGATTTTGGAATACTATTTATTTTAAATGCTTTAGCCTTCTTTTCCTTTTTTTAGATAAACAGATCATAAAATAATATATTGACACATGTCAATTGAATACATTTTCGAGGTATAAACCGAGAAACAGAGAGGACTCTTCTAATACAGGTTTAATAGACTTAACCAAAGGTATTTTGTATTAATGTGTTCTAGATGGTAAATAAAAGATTATTGATCATTTTTCAAAATTTTTAAATTAATAACTGTCAAAATGCATTCATAATCGATACTAAATATTAAACTATTATAAATGCAATAGTGTCTGTCTGTTACCTCTACATACTTAAACCGCTAAATTGATTTAGATAATTTGTATAGTGATAGTTTGAGTCCTGGCAAAGGATATAGGATAATTTTTATCCCAGAAACCACCCTTTAAAGAGATGAAAAGCAGAGGTGGAAGTTTGTATGCTTGAACTGATATTAATGAAATTTGGCATGGAGACTTTGATTCTTGAGGAAAGACATAGGCTACCATACACGCGAGCTGAGCTGCAGGCAAAAAGCTAGTAATTCATAAATGAAGTCATTCTCTTGATGGTTCACTGCAACCGTTGACTGAATGCAAGGCAACCACGCAGGCAAGGCCACATTTAAATACTGTCCATATAGTTGTAAAGATTTGATACCTCACCACCATTTTTTATACAGATATAAAGATGAACAAATAAGTTGTTCGGGCAGTTCTTTAAGTAGACAATATTTGCTCCTGAACTAAGTACTTTCCCGAGATAGTTTGTAACAGTTCGAGTTGGTTGAACATATAAAAATTTACTTTATTACATAAGAGTGAAAGCTAGCACTCATGTGTGGGCAGGTTAGTTAACATAAATAACAATCCTCAGTTAAAAAAAGATATTTATTTTCATGTAGACTTCACTAAAATATTTCTTATCCAAATTTGTTTTAACAACTTTAGATTAGGTATATAAATTTATTTAGGGCAACACTTTCCAAATAAATAGTATATATTATATTCAAATATACTTTTGTAATATTCTTTAAATGAATAAATTACTAATAGTTCACCGATTCGTATACTTAAAAAAACCATAAAAATGAAAGATTCATCCGCATACCAAGAGGCATCTTCTCTGGTGGGTAACTTCTGCATGTCACACATAGTATGGAGCAATAGTCTCTATCGTTTCATACGATTCGCCGAGGCAGGAGAAAAATCAAATAAAAAATTCACTGTCCCACTTGAATCATTCACCAAAGTATCTCGCGTATCCCCACGTCCCCCAATGTCCCACCACCGCGGCGCCACTGCGCACGGGACTACACTGGGACTACGATGGTAGGGCACATACCACTACCGACCACCAGACACGGCACTACACTAAAATTAATTCAGCTGCGGTGAGAGGCGACAGATGATCGTCTACCACTAGTATAAGAAAGTAGGCTAAAGAAAGTTTTTGTGCAGGCTCGATAGCCGACCGACAAGTTGCTTGTACATACTGACGGACAGTATTGGCGTGTGTGTACGTATACATATGTACCTCTAGCGTGATCCTCACTTTCTCTTTGCCGTACTTTCACAAGACACAGTGAGGTGTGGTTGTGGTTCACTGGCTGTAAGAAGCTTGCTTGTTGAGTAATCATTTCGATTCTCGTTTGAAGAATTATGTGAAATAGGATTAACTTTTACAGTCGTCTCAAAATTATAGAAGCAAGTTCCCATAGTTTTAGGTAAAAAATTAGATCAGAATGATTAACTGTATTATAATTGAACCTTAAAGCAGGTATAATAATAGAAAGTTGAAATAAGGTCATAATACGTGTCATTGACCTTAAAAATTCTTAGCACTCAAAATTTGTATTAATTTATTTTATACCTACGTTAGATATTTAAGATTTAGATTATTAGCATTAACATAAAAACTAATGTTATTCATAGATATAATTACTGGCAGGGTTGAAGGTTATCATATTCGCAGACAAAGAACCGCAACAAAAATGGCCGATTTATTTTCAGTTACGCAATTACAGCTAATTCTTAAATTAAAAAGGATTAATTTCGTTAATAAGGGAACTTCGCGAGGTCGTGGGCAGAACCAGACAGAAATCGAAGGTTGTTAACCCCTACCAGTCCTCTTGACCAGCTGTGCGTCCATCAAGCGTACGCGACGCATCCCCACCATCATGCGGGATCCCCTCCATGTGCCGCAACTAAATCACTCCCGCTCCCGACTCCTTCCTCCACCGCCAGGGAAATCCGAGAGGAGGGGTTGAACGCGGCCCTCGCGGCACTCTCACGATAGCACTCAGGTGGCCACGCGCCCCGTGTAACGGTACTACGGAGTACCGCTTTCAAAATAAGGTCATGGATATTCACTAGTTGTAAACAAAAATGTTTAATTAACTTGACTTACCTTCGTCGTACTTTTTGCTTCAATTACAATTAAAATCTCATTCAGCTAGTTTTCAAAACAAAGTTCGTAATTTATAATCAAACACAAATAAACAACGATGCCCCTTCCCTACAACCATTTACAACACAAATGAAATCCGCCATACTGTTTCTTAGTTCATGAAATGTATTACCAGATGGCGCACTAATTCTTTGGCGTGATTGGTCGAAACATATAATTGACATGTGTAAATGCCACAATAAAAATTGAAATTATTACCATGCTTTAACAATTTTAATTAAATTAACATGTACACTAATTAAAGTTAAATGTAACAATAATAATACGCACAAAACTTAACACAAAACTAAATCTAATATGGAAATTGTTGCCCACATCTTTGCACTCTCTCTAAATGTAATTCGAATAATAACTTATTGTCATAGTAATAACTACTCTGAGAAGATGACATTCCTGGATCATAGCTTGCTCTACGTTCTTCACTTGACGATGAACTTGGTGACGAGATTCCATTCTCCTGAGTTATTCCACTAGCATCTGGTGTTTGTGAAACAGTTGTGTTAACCAGGTTATTGTTTATATGCAAGTTGTTTATCCTCTTTGATAATGGCATAAACTCACAAGAGTCATCCTCTCTGGATCTTTTCCTGTGTATAAAACATTACTATTTAGTATAAATTAAAATGTTCTCTCTTAAAATTAGTTTATTTACACTGGATTTACCTATTTTCCGTCATATTGAAGTAATTTCCATTACTATCGATACAATTATTCCAATCGAGATTTGCGTCTCTGCCAAAAGTCATTTGATGAAAAATTCCTATATTCATGTGGTAAACCAATGAAAACTATATACTTTTACTATAAAACAGTCAATTTTGTTTCACAAGGCTACAAATTAATGTAGTAACCACTACCAGTAACAATAACCAAGTACAACATACAAGTATTATTATGAATTTGTAGCATGATTTCTGTTTCATCTTTACATATTGACATCACAGTATGATAGAAGGAGAAAACAATCATTTAATGCATTAACACGTGATTCACTCAAAGCACGGAAAACGGTTAGTGCAGCTGTTTTTTTAGATTGTCATTTAAGTCACAATGACGTTTCGTAACTCCTCTTCGACATGAATTTGAAACCTCTGTTCTTTTGATTATGTCTTTTAAGAATTAAAATAATAAAATTGCCCAACTAATTCATTTTTGAATATTGGCATCACCTTTCATTATTTAAACTCAAATAAAATGCTCACACTATAATTAAACGGTTATTAGTTGAACGTTTGTTTAAAAGATGGCGCTGCATACATTTTCTTGCTGCTTAAACTGCATTTTTTAAATCTTGTGATCCATCCATAAGTTTTCTGTACCGAAATAGAGATGGCACTATAGATGCTACTTTTTTTGGCGAATTAATTCATAAACGATTATGTACTCGTGTTTCATGCGCTGGCGGGCGTCTTCTAAATGAGGGTTCATCCTAGAAGGTGGTGCTTGCTCTTTTAAAGGGCCGGCGATAGGAGGAGTCCGGAGCCGTCCTCTACCAAATTAGGACCGGTCTCGGTTGGCGTGAAATGTCGTGCGGTGTTCCAAAAGGGTCGGTGTTAGGGCCGGTCCTGTGGAATATCAGCTACGACTGGGTGCTCCACGGTACCTTCTTCGAGTGTGTCTCTGTCACATGCTACGCAGATAACACGCTCGTGACAGCGTGGGGTAAGGCGCACCGTGAAGATCCGAAGGCTGGGACTCGAGGTGTCTTTGCACAAATCTGAGACCTTATTCTTTCGTGAGCCTTGGAGGGGGCCACCTGAGGGATCCAGTCTCGTAGTAGAAGGCACTCGCATCGACATCGAGCCGTCGATGAGGTATCTGGGTCGTACTGGATCGGAATCGTTTGACTCGAGAAATCGAGGACCAGGAATCCCAACTCTGCCAGGTCCTCATGGAGGAGTAGCGGGTAAGGCATTGATTTGACTTGACCTGGATTCAGAAGTATTTCGATAGCTTACTCTATTTTAAAACAAATATGGCCATTCACGTCTTGGCTTACGTGGGTTGGTTCTGTCACATTTTGGCTTACCGGGGAATGAAGTGGCAGATCGATTGGCAAAAAAAGCTATCTTAGATGGTATTGAAATCAATATCACCTCAAGTTATTCGGAAGTTTTACCTAAATTTAAAATGATGTGCCAGAATAATTGGAAATAATATTTTAATCAAAGACGACAATTCAAAGTGAACCTCCTCGTATTCCATGGTTTGCTAACAGATTTATTAATAGGAAATATACTGTAATAGATCATATACGACGATCTGGATATGTCCCACTCAACAAGTTTTGACATCTTGAAGTACCAGCCAAATTGTGAAGAATGTGGCATAGAATGTCGTAAGAGCCGACTATGGGAGAAAACTATGCAGAACAACGGCACTGCAGAGAGAAGAAAAACTTGACACGAGCCCTATACCAACCCGCCTGGCCAGCGTGGTATAGTAGACCAAAACCTATTTCCAAGGAGAGGCCTATGTCCAGCAGTGGTCTATTAAAGGCTGTTGATGTGGTGTGACGATGATGTTGGTATGTTTCAAAGTATAGGTATCAGAAGCTTTGTCAGAAGCGTCGATGTAAGTTCATTAATTATAATTATTTGAACATACTTCTATTAATAATACGGCAATATAGACTATTGCATTATTAAGGAGAGGAAACACGGGACCCTCATACCGGCTGACGCAGGAGCTCACCTGTGTCTGATCCGCAAGGAAACAATGCCTGGATGCCATCATTGCGGTGGCTAGAACGTGGCGCTCCATGATGTCATGTCGGCTACATTTTGTTTATATGTTTAATATTTATAGCTTCGAAATAGCCACCCATTAAGACACAATCGATACTAATAAGTAACTATTTCGTACTGACTGTTCTGTATTGCTTTCATAACTATAGATTGTAAATATTAATAACTAATCAAAAAGCCAATTTCAAATCAAAAAGTGAATTTACTATGGTAAATAGGTAAATGTTAGTTTTGTTTAATTTACTCATTATAATACCTAATATTTCTACATAGCTATATTAGGTCTCAAAGATATATTATTCAGGGTTACTGGGTAAGTCGACCTAGATACTTTAGGGGGTTGTAGTTGCCATCATTTCTGATAGATTTCACTATGAAATACCATAATTATCCCAAACCTAACCATTTTTAAGATATTGGGCTTTTAAGTTTTTTTTTTAATTACAGAAATTTTGCCTAATACAATTTTATTAGAACGTCTGTACTTTATTTTATGCTTTTTTGTACTGTTTTTGTGTAGCTGATAAATTGTTTTAAAATTTCAATGACTAAAATTGTAGTTAACAAACCGGGCCGAATTGGATGGTTAATATTAACAAAAAGAATAAATTTTGTTTTTTTTTTCTTTCATGATTAATATAAAAAAAAACCTATGACAGTTAAACTGTAGATCTGCTAAAAAAACATCTACGTATTCTCAGCTATCTAACAAGGTATAATAGTCTTGGATATATATATCCAAGACATTATCAGAATTCATAGAAAAAAAGTGTTAAGAATTAGCGTACAACGCGGTAGTAAATAGTTGAAAACTTGGCTTGTATTTTTGGACTGTTTCGTTTTCTATTCGTGACCAACTATTGCTATCTGGATTTTGATTTGACCTTCTGATACTGTTGAAGATGACCTGATAACGACAGAGGCATATCCTGATATTCTGATTTGTTACGGATACTGCCAAAGCGTATCTGCACGGGCTCGCGGATGGATACATAGCACGCTATCCCGTCCGTCGAGTGCCGGATGTTATTGTGTTGGACGGAGCCTATCGACAAATAAGAGTGCCCAGCTCTGTTTTAAGGCGACAATCTAAACTGGATAGATCACGTTACACTGATGAAAATGATGAAGAAGACAACAAAATAGTTCAAACAAGATCTGGTCTATACTGGCGATCTTCAGCACACATAGAATATTTATAACAATATTAAAAAAAAACATAATTATTATAGATATAAATGTATCTATTTTATACTTCCAATATAAGAATATTTTACTCTTTTTTCTCAGTAAACAACATATAAACAATTTACTACATCATTATTTAAAAAAATACCTAGCTACAGGGATGTGTGACTGATAAAAGTTTGTGTTATTATTCGCGCGCAAATATAGAAATGTCGATGGTTTCCATTGCCGAATGTACATAACTACTGAGGTAATCATAATTAAACATAAAAAAAAGTTCGTGTTAGATTTATTAGAAGTAAATGAACATCGAAGTAAATGAAATTTTTGTACTTGGTTATCGCAATGAACTTATTTCTCGCCATACATGGTGAGCAAAGATATCATGTTTCTTGCCTTTTTATGGCTAAAGAGAACGCTCGTTGTCAGCTACAACAGATGTCTTGTTATAGTTTGGATCAATTACTTTTGAAGGTACTATTTTTATTACAGACAAAGGGTCGATGACTCTTTTGGCTCCAGACGGTCGTTTTCTTTCCCCTTATACGAGGAGGTCACTTCACCGACGTGATAGATCAAAGGTTGAAATCTTAGACGAAATAAATATTGTAGGAATTTAAAAATGGAGGTTTAGGTTAATCAGTTGTAGTAGAAAGGTCTCGGAAGCTAAGCACAGGTTATATAATGTGTCATGTGTCATCCACGTTAGAAAATACCTCTCCACTACAATAGGACGTGGTTTTCGTATTTCTCAAGTGAAGAAAAACGAAAAGTAGATAAAAACCCGTGTAACATGTTACTATGAAGGTCTGACGAAGATGGGAGGGGGAACAATAAAAATACGATATACAAGCTCACAGCTCGTCAGAGAGTCATTATCTGGTTAGTGATAGGGAAGTTTGATGACCGATGCCTACGAGTATAAACACTATCCATCAGTCAGTCGCACGTAGCCAATTCTGAGCGGTTAATTTTGTAAATTTTCATTATTAGTCAAACTATTCCTCATTGTAATCAAGTTCGTTAGATATTTTACTGTAATATAATCAGCATCCCATAATAAGCTATGTAAATCTTTGTATGTGGTTTTCGTAATGTTGATTTTTTTAAAGTAAATATTGCTGTCTTATGTCACATAAGTAACTGCTTTCTTAACTTCTGATTACTTCCTTAATTCTAAAGTTTTTAGATTAGATTGAGATTTGTTTAAAGTCACGAAACATAGATAAGCGATCACTTGCCCTTATTCCTATAGTTTTTTTTAAATTTAAGAGTTGTAAACTTTCTTATTATGGTGACATTAGCTATTATGTAACATATAAAAAGTACAGCATAATAGCTTTACATAAATAAGGCGATCTAATTCACTACAGATTTTTGTCAGGAAGTTAAAATGTCACTTAAAAAAGTTAAAGGAAGGAAATAAGCGTAGTTAGTTTTGCGAAATTTTGTCAGGAGTGGAAAACGTCATTTTTTATTATTCTGCCTATCGTGGCCGTCGAAATAAAAAATCCTACAGTAAGCGTGAAAATAGTATAGCTGTATTGAACCAATTATCTAAAGGCCAATTCTCGTAATAAAAGTTCGGCCTAAATTCAGTTCCGATCAACTAACGATCTCACAACTATCATAAAAGGTATTTTCGTACTAAAGAATTAAACATCTAACGTTGACTGTTATGTGATTATATCGTATTGTAGCCGAAAATTGAATTAGTAATCTGCTGACTGTTGTGAGTTGTG